ATAGCCCGTGTCTTCGACTTTCAGGCAATGTTGTACCGCTGCGAAAAAAAAAAAAAAAGTGTAACGATATATGTTACTCGTTACATCAACATGAAAGAAACGCTTACCGATAAAAAGTAACTCACGTTACTTTTCATTTATGAATTAAAGCGTTTTACTCTTTCGACGTTACAGGTGCGCCACATAATGTGCAGGCAGAAACTTAACAAAATTACCTTATCTTTTTAACGGTTCCACCTGAATGCTCACGAGAAGAAAAGCGAAGAAAAACGCAAAAGTTCATATAAAAAAACTTGAAGCGCAATATTTTCAGGTCTAAACGAAACCGTAACGAGTAACGCAATTACGTTACACGTTACTCTAAACAAGTAACGTAAGTACGTACGTTAAATATGCTATTGTATTGAGAACAAAAAGTAACATACGTTACAAAGTGCCGCGTTACCGGTGAGGTCGTTCGTTACTTGTAGCTATAGACCTTTCCAAAAATCGCCTTCTGTCCTCTACCAGCTTTGTCTGCTGGGCTGTGGAAGGCATTCTGAGCTTGCGCAGTAATTCCACGAGATACGAGACGCCACTGACTCAGCATTTCTTGCCATGGTGATAAGCGCTGGAAAAGTCGATAGTCCCTCAACAGTGAGCCGTAAACAAGTTTGGCTTTTGCGTTACAACTTGCTTCGGTACCAGCACCAAAAATCGCTCCTTATGTTCGACCCTATAGCTAACGTCAATTTGAAAATACGCTATTCTACCTCTACTAGAGCGAGAGTCGTAAATATTAACGTTATTATTCTGACTCGAAGAGAAAGAACGGAGAAAGCCGAGGGGGGTATACGCTGCTCTTGATTACTTTTCCAACTTTTGTGAGCAAGACCCTCCTGCTAACTTTCGGGCAGACTAATCGGCCAATCAGAACGCGCGTATCATTGCGATCTACTTAATGAGCCTCCCGTATCATGGTAGTGACCAGACGGCTTTGGGCCAACACATCCATCGTGCCATTACATCCGTCGAGCAGATAAGTCCAATTTCGTGCCATTACATCCATTGTGCCCGTACATCCATAGAACCAGCACATCCATCATGCCATTACATCCATTTTTTGTCAGTTAATCCAACGTGCCATTACATCCATCATGCCGTTACATCCATCGTGCCATGACATCCAGCGCGCCATCACATCCATCGAGCCACTTCATCCAAAAGCGTGTCATTGCATCTATCGTGCCGTTACATCCATCGTGTCATCACATCCATCTTTTCATAACATCCAACGAGCAGCTTCTTCTAAAAACGTGCCTTTACATCCATCAATCACTCAGGTTTATTTCTTTAACTATGCTGTATAATACTGTATTTCACAATATTTTGAAGAGTTATGCGCTAAATTGAATGTACTAAAGCGAGTGAAAGGACCCTCTGTGCGGCATGCACTTTCTGCGGCCCTCGGCGTCTCCAAAGTCGAACATGCATCGTCGGCTCGATTTTCGTTGTTTTCACAGTGATCACACTTTAGTTGCTGCTTTTTTCACCCTCAAGTATAAATAAATATAAACTTTATTATATTATTAGGACGGTACACAGAATTAACCTTTTATTTTGCTTTGAAAAAAAAAATCTGAATGTGTTAAAGAATTTAAGTGTGGTACACTAATGTTCTGAGGCTTACCGTTTGTTATGTCCCTGTGGCTCCCGAACCAATGCGGAGAGCAAGTTCGTCTGCTTCTTGCGCAGGGGTCGCGGTGACGTGATAAAGACGCCGAGCTTTGATTGGCTCTGAATGAACGATAGTGGATAGACCCTGCCTTCAGCTCTAACCAGTATCGTTCAATCAGAGCTCCATTCAGAGCTCGGCATCTCTATGACGTCACCGCGACCCCTGCGCAAGAAGCAGACGAACTTGCGCTCTCCATAAGAATGCGAATAACGCAAAAAGCCCCATGGCGGCCATCTTGGCTTCTATGGATGCGGTAGCACGATGGATGTAATGGCACGCTAGGCGTCGTAACATAGGATGAGCAATTACATCCATCGAGCAACAACATTTAACGAGCAACTACATTCAACGAGCAACTACATCCATCGAGCAGCTACATCCATACACGTGTCAACACATCCAACGAGCTAGTATATCCACCGTGCCATTACATCCATCGATGGATGTAATGGCTCGGTGGATGTACTGGCTCGATGGATGTGTTAACACGTAATCTGACCAGACCCGGTAGTGATTGTTCCGGGAACTGGGCTCAGTGCCAGAGCCCGGGCATGTGGAACGTCATTGTCGCAGCGCAAGTAGCATTTGCGCGCGCGATAATGTTATCTCTCCTCTTCATTCCCTATGGCCCTTTCGTAGATCGCAGTGATCGGCTCTAAGCACGCGATCTGCGGAAAGAATAGACACGCGGTTCCGTAACCAGTGCGCGAAGTATTGGAGCGTAGACGAAGCCTTATCAGTGTTATTCTGTGCTGCAGCGATGTGTCAGAAAGCTAACTCTGGGCAGTGTTGTTGGCGTTACCGAAAAAAAGCAACAAAATACATTACTCGTTACTTGCAAATAAAAGTAACGCGTTACGGTCCTGCGCGTTACCGTTACCGATAAGAAATAACGGACGTTACGTTTGCGTTACTTTTTTTAATTATGAATAAACACGTTTTACTTTTTGTCGTTACAGGCAGACTTGTGCCCGTTACTTCAAAAATGTAATGCAATGCAATTACAAATTACCGTGCCTCAAATGTAATGGATAATCGTTACAAATTACTTTAGCTGAAAAGTAACGGATTTCTTTACTCGTTACGTTACAAATTACTTTCACGTTACTTTTCCCGTACACTTATCAAGAAAACAATAGAAACAAACTTGACGTTTTCACAAATGTTTTTCAGTACTACTTTCCATTTCTCATACTCGGGAGAAGAAGAAAAAAACACGATGGAAGGCGATGGGAAGAGGCAGAGCCTACTGGGCGTTGTCTTCTTGATCTTTGTTTTTCGCATATTTGTAGAGGCCTTGCACATTCTTCTAGTGGTTCTTGTGACTGGTCATGCAAAAAATCGTGTTTTCTTTTCGGTTATTCTCCTCCTCACGATGTTTTTAATGCGCAAGCATTAGCTGGTCCCATGGAGCGAGCCGACGTCATCAGCTTTGAAGCCGCGCCAAACGGCACCTTAAATCCTTTCTCCAGGTGGAGCCGGCTCCCAGCTATGATATCACGCGAAAAGCCTAGCCAAACGGCACCTATTATAGTTTCCCCGATCCCAAAGGAGAGGAGTAAAGCTGATGGATTTCGGTTTCGGTCCCATTGGCTGGCGCGCGTCGACGAGGCTCCCATTGGACGAGGCTCCCATTGGACGAGGCTCCCATTTATAGTTTCCCCGATCCCAGTTTCAACGACAGCCACCCCATGGCGCTGCGTGTCCATCAGCTCGCCGGTAACAAAAAACGCCCAAGGTCAGAGCGGCGAGGAGGGGGCGCGCTCTGCCGTCCACGCAAATACGCTGCAGACGAAATAAGGGAACGGAAGAATGACGTGCTTGCTTTCGCATTCACAACTCATAAGAAGTGCTTAGGTATACCTCGAGCCTTTTTTTTTTTAACTTGCTATGCTAGTTTTATGCTGCTTAATTGCCTGCTCATATTGCTCCATTTTCTGTATTGTTCATATTTTTAAAAAGTAACGAGTATTTGATGTAATCCGTTACCAATAATTGTAATGACGTTACATTACAAATTACGGCCGCAGAAAAGTAATGTAACAATAAAAAAATTACTTGAAAAAGTAACGGATCGCTTCCCAAGTCTGGCTTACATGCATAAGCGCCATATTTCAAGAACCATATGTCCACGCAGAAACTGAACATAATTACTTAACATTTTTTTTTGCGGTTCTACCTAAATACTAAAAAAAAAAAACGCAAAAGAAAAAAAAAAGAAAAAAAGAGCGTAACTTTGGCGCCTAGAAACACGAAAAAAATTGAAGTGTAACTTTTTTTAAGTTTGGGGAAGCAAAAGTAACGCGTAACGTAACTCCGTTACACGTTACTCGAAATAGGTAACTTAAGTATGTTACCCATTACTGTTCTGCAAATGTAACAAGTATTTTACACGTTACCGAAAAAAAGTAACGCTGTTACATGTAACGCGTTACCGCTTGCACACTGACTATCTGGGTGAGAAGGGCGTGAAAAGGACCGGATGGGCAATTTTTTTTTTCGCGTTTTAAATTGTTGGGAGAACTCTTAAAATATATCTGTGCGTCTGCTTTCCTGAATTCTCGTTCGTGAGTTACTGAAATGTGTGGAGGAAAATTGGCGAATGACAGAGCAAAAAAAAAAAAATCGACTTAAAAATGTTTGCGTTATGGCACTGGGCATGATGTGAGCGTGAGCGTGAAAACGTCATGCTATCACAACGCAGATTTCATTTTTGAGTAAACACTCTTTTCTTTTAGCCTTTTTTTTTCCCCTTCTTTTTTCTCGAGCTCCTTCTGTAGGTTGCAGTGGCCGCACCGACATTTCTTAGCGTGAAAAATTTTTCCATGTATTTGACTTTCGTGTGGGTTCTTTTAGGCATGTTACAACTGGATTTAGTGCAGCACTATACTTCGTTTCACCTTACGTTCGAGCGCGGCCGATGTTATGAGCCGAAGGGCCAATCAAACAGCGCAAAAAGCGCAACGTCATGGCGTGCTCTCTGCGCTTGATAGGACTAGCTGGCGGAGGAGCACGCACAGAGAGACGGCGAATACCGGCTAGTCCTATCAACTGCCGAAAGCACGCCGTGACGTTGTGCCTCTTTCGCTGTTTGATTGGCCCTTCGGATTATAACATCGGCCGCGCTCGGACTTAAGCTGAAACGAAGTATAGTGCCAGGGTGCCGACGCCCCGTGAAGGGCATTGTCAGCCGACAACGACGTAACTTTCTTTGTTTCCCGCGCTCTCACGGTGGCCAAGAGAGCCCGCCTCTTGACGTGTCGGGCGGGCGACGTGTGCGCAGGGGCGAAGACCAATGGCCGCCGATCATGTCTCATGAACAGCCGCACCAGGAGCTGGTGAAATGCGTCGTGGTCGGGGACACCGGCGTGGGCAAGACGCGGCTCATCTGCGCCAAGGCCTGCAACACCAAGGTCTCCCTGCCGCAGCTCATGACCACCCACATCCCAACCGTCTGGGCCATCGACCAGTACCGCATCTACAAGGACGTAAGCATGTTTTCGATCGTGCATGCGGCGACGCCCTTTCGCCCCTGCTGGGCTAACAGGGCGGGTGTCCTAGGGAGCCCACATGAAGGCACCCTAGAGATGTCAACTTCCCGGACGCGTATTCGGAAAAGCTTGCGGTTATAAGTCAACGGGCCAATTTCGGCACTCTGATTGGCGCGTTTTCATTGACGTCACATCGCCTGGTCTACGTGGGAAGGAGAGGAGGAGGAAGAAAAGGGGGGGGGGGGGGGAGATTAGGTAGACGCATATTGATGCACGCGCAAGAAGCCTGCAACCGGTTTCCAGATTTTCTTACGTTTATTCGGGAAAGCAAATCTGGGAGTCGGCTAAAGGCTAGCGCGAGAAGTCTGCCTGCAAACGGCGTCGTATGTATCGCTGTAGAAGGGTATAATTTGACCAGGGCAGCAGGGCACGCTGTGACGCTAACTAGTACGGTTGCATGCCGGTGCAACATCTCTCCATGACGAAACCGGCGGAAATGAACTCGTGACGTCCGTCTGCAACGTGATCCGCCTTCCGCCACATTGCCTAAATCAGGGGTCTCCAGACGTTTTTGCTAGGGGGCCGAGTTGGGGACGTTGAAGTCTCAGGGGCCGGGATTCAGAAAAGAAAATATAAACGAGGAAAATAAAAACCCTAAATAAGCATTTACACACAAACAATTAATTTAAAGAAAAATTAAAGAAAAAAACTGGCAAATTAATTGTGCATTAAACCAATGGCGGTTCAACACGAAAGAAATGGTGCACCTTTTTTATTGCGTGAACTGTTCGAGTTAAGGCTGGTTCACAGAGTTTTGTTTGATTGTGGTCGACTGCCCTGCAACCATCTGTGACCGCTTACGACCAGAAGCACCAGCCATCGGGTAGCCCTGCGTATATTTCCTCGTTTTTGACGCATCAACGGGTGGTCGGTGGCTGCAGAACCAAGAGATCCTGGTTTCGATCCCCACCCCTGCCCGTTTCGATCTGGATGGGACGTTTTCACAAATACTGGGAAAACGACATTAGGCTTAGGTGGATGTCAGCTCACAGAAAAATTTCGTTTTTCTCACTTATCTCTTGATCCAGATAACGTCGTATGTTCTCAAACTTTTGCGTTCTATCCCAACCGCCACATTCTCACGGAGTTTGAGCTTTTTGCGATGCATAGTTTATTCACATGGCCGAAAAACGCGTTTTTTTTTTTTTCTTGGGAACTCCCTGTACATTTCGTGAACGCTGAGCGAAACGCATGTCCCGCCCCAATCCCGGCGCTCCCCAAGGCGGCTTTCCCGCAAGTGCGAAAGTAAAATTTGCCGAATGTGGACCCCTTCTCCGCCATTGATTTGGCGACGAAAGGAAAAGGGAGGCAATACCCTGACTCCGCCACTTGCCACTTCCCCCGTCGTAAGAACGCAGTCGATCAGACTCCAACGCAAATCAGTGTTGGGAATTACTTTTAAGTACAATATTTCAAGGAGGTTTAGAATACTTGGACTTTAGTTGAAGTACATTCTCTGAATATTTACTTGTACTTTACTTAAAGTATTTTTTCTGGTAGTTTCTGAGGAATGTAGAACTTCTTACTTTAAATTTAAAGTACATTCCACAAATTTGGTCTTAAATTTGTATCGCAAAATGATGCTGTGTCAACTCTCATGCCACTTGACTTTATCCAATATTCGCCGCCATTTCCAAATATAACTGATGCACCCCCGATTACCCCTGGGCAACGCGTGCCAGTTAACAAAAAACAAAACAACAACAACACTGTATAGGGGAATGAAAGGGCATCATGAAAAATAGTGTTAAAAGTACTTAGTGGACGAAGGGCGTGTTGGTTCGGGTCAAGATTAAAGAAAGAATAAACATGTTGACGACACAACCACATCTTTCATGAAGGATGTGGTTATGTCGTCTTCTTCTTACATGTTTATTCTTTGTTTAAAAGTACTTGTGCTTTGATTTGAAAGTACATTGTATTTATGGTACTTTACTTCAAGTATATATATACGTACATTGCACATTGTGTACTTACTACTTTACTTGAAGTACATAACCTCTGATTTACTTTGTACTTCAAGTAATTTCGAGACGTACTTTACCCAACAATGAGGCAAATGCGTGAAGCAGCCTTTGCCCTCGGTGCCGCGGCCCCTCGGAGGTCATCGGCGGGTGCGCGCTTTCCTGCGCAAGGCGTGTTGTGATTGCTGCGCGTTGTTCCGCGTGTCCGATACGGGGCCTCGCCAAGGGGTCGCCGCTTGCTCGGTCTCGTCAGAGGTCTCGTGCGCGATCCAACCTTGGGCACACGTGTTGCACGCGTGCGGAGTCCCCTATTGTTTACTGTCGCGGACTCTGTAGTGCCCGAGTCGTGTGCTGTCGTGCGAGTTGCTAGGTGAACTTGCCGAGAATGCGCGATAGCGCATGGATAAGCCTCTCTGGGCACTTTCCGGACTTTCTCCCGATAGCCGCCGATAAGGATGGACGCGAGCTGACTCTTCGGGTTATCGGTTCTTGAACGCTTTGGAAGTGGACGAAAGCAGTTTACCTGCTGTCCTGGCTGAACTCTGCCAAGCACGTTCAGGCAACCGAAGCTTTTCTGAGCAGTTCAAGAGCTCGCCCTAAATTGCCGCGCTTAGTTGAAACAAAACGAGGCTAGTCCTCAAAACGTCAATCCAGTGCAGGGGAGGTCACGGGTACACACAAAATTATGTTTGAACTCTGTGTCTAGTATGTCTGCCTGTGCTTCTAGCTTCTCACATTGTGGGAAAAAGAGTGCCGAGACACTGAGCGTAGCGTTCGAGCGAGTCTGCACCAACTCGTCCATCTTGCTCACTGTGGCCCGGTTCACTGGGTATTCCTGCATTTCAGTGGAATCGCGGAAATAACATTTTTTTTTTTTTTTTTTTTTAATTTTATAAGGTCGAGAACTGAATGACAGGAAACTTACTCTCGTGAATGAAGCCAGCGAAGTAGACCATGCGGCCTCGTACTACGCGCGTACGTCCTAGCGGCTGGAGGAACCACTCCCACTGAGCTAACCGAGAGAGCAGGCCGGTTACGAGAGTAGCGCAACTAGTCGACTTTGTTTAGAATTGCACGGTAAAATAGCTGTCAATGATTGGACGGTAAACTAGCTGTCATTAATTGCTCGGTCAAATAACTGTCAAGGCCGCCGCTCCGTGGAAGTGGTTCCTTTTGCCACTGGCATGATGTTCCTGCGTCTTCATTGGCTTTGTACCGGCGATCTAATTCTTTCTTAGGAATGTTGAAGACAGGCAGTAATTATAGTAGCTCAAATGTTGAGGCGCTCTTACGCGACGACGCACCTCTTGAATCATCGTTGCATTTTTTGCAACGATGATTCATGTATTCTCCGACTTTCTTCCAGGTCCTAGAACGTTCGTGGGAGGTTGTCGACTCCGTGAGCGTTTCACTGCGGCTTTGGGACACCTTCGGGGACCACGACAAGGACCGGCGATTTGCGTACGGACGGTAAGGGACGCGATCCGGTCTCCCTTTCCCGTCGCGGATCCCGGGGCCTCGTGCTCATTGGCCTGGGGTCCTCGCAGGTCGGACGTGGTGCTGCTGTGCTTCTCGATCGCCAACGAGGCCTCGCTGACCCACTGCAAGACGGTCTGGTACCCCGAGATCCGGCGCTTCTGCCCGGACACGCCCATCATCTTGGTCGGCTGCAAGAACGACCTGCGCCACATGTACAGGGACGAGGAGTTCCTCTCGCTCTGCCGGGACCGCAGCCCCTTCTTTAGGTAGGCATCACATTCGAGACTCCGCTTGTCTCGGCACCGCGTGCTTTGAGGCCATTTTTAATGTTAAAAAAAAAAAAAAAGAAAAGAAAAAGAGGAGGGTTCTTCTTTCTCTGTGTGTGTGTGTTGTGTTCTTTCTAAGCATAGAAACTTTAGCGGAACCCCCTAATCTCGTACATTTGCCCATGGACTTCCCCGCCAAATTTAGCGGGGAAATTGACGCCATGGCGGCCACGTGAAGTCATGGCACCACGTGACTCCGCGACTTGTCACCTCTTGTCACCGTCACGTCACGTGACGTTAATTTTCCCCCTAAATTTAGAGAGAAAATGATGAAACACTGATGTCCGTGTGCACTCCCCGAAACGACCGTTTAATACGTCGTCTAAGCCAATTTAATTGCTGGCTTAAATACTGCATTCCATGTATTTGAGGTCTTCGGTGGTAAATGTCGCGGCTAATTTATAACTTTTATACGTTTTACGTGAAATGGCTTCTGCCGAGGCATTTATGATCCTTAGATTTTGTATAGAAACGTGATCCACAGAGGTCCGAATATATATATATATATATATATATATATATATATATATATATATATATATATATATATATATATATATATATATATATATATATATATATATATATATATATATATATATATATACTTTTTTTTTTACGCGAAAATTGTTAGAGAACGCGAAAAATGCAATGCCTCGGTGTTTGTCGCCGTAATTGTTGTGTGTCTTCTATGATCGGTTCAACCAATCATGCGGAGTAAATGCAGCGCAACCTTTCGCTTTTAGTAAGCAGGGAGCCCATGAGCGATGAAAACGGGTGCTGCGCGGCACTATCGATAGCGACCGGTGCTGGCGTCCCCTGCGTCACTTCCTGGCGGCGCCGCGTCGCTCGCTGAGAACCGGCCGCCTCAAAGCTCCCCCACCCATCTCTTCCTCTGTCGCGTGCGATGACGACACAGAACTTTGAATATTTGACAAGTAATGAGTCGTTCGGGGCACGTCTTCATTAATACAAATGACCCTATCAACTGCCGGCAACATATTTGAGCCTGCGATGCCACAACCCTCCACCCTGGTCGTCTTGTTTCGGTTTGACTTTCTTTTTTCTCGGCAAAAACGCAACTTTGGCGCAAAAATATTTTTGGGTGGTGTCTCGACACCTTGCCTCTAAAAAATCGCAAAAATAAAAATAAATATATTTTTTTTTTACGTTTTTCTAATCTGCGAAACGGAAGGGGCGAGTCCGCGCTACCACCTTGGCAGCAGCCCAGCGCCAAAGCGTGCTGCTTCCGCGGTGAATGTTTTTCTTTTTCTGCTTTTGTAAACAAGCGCATTCACGTGACATACTTCCGAACTTCGCCTGGCCGTGACTGTTCTGATGCCACGCGCAGAGCGAACTTCGCCGCTTCTTTCGCTGCCTGCCTGCATGCCAGAGTCGTTCGCTCGGCACTAGTAGTCACCGTGCCAGTGGCTTGTTGCAATTCTTGAGTGACGGTACATTTATTCTCGATGTTTCCAAGTCGACGCTTTCACCCCGGGAGGGCGGCGGAAATGAACGAACAATTAGAAATTGATTGATTGATTGATTGGGGTTTCATGGCGCAAGGGCTACTTAGGCCAAAATGCGCCAAAATTAGAAATCACGGCCCCATCCGGCGGTTACTCCTTGCGAACGGCGTGGGCTCCTTGCGAACGGCTCAGTTTCCGTCTTTGGTGAAACGCTAAAAACTAGGGCTGGGCAATTGATCGATTGACCTATCGATTAATGCTTTTATCGCGATTAATATTTTAACCCGTTAATCAGTAAAATTTTTACGAACCAAAAGAAAGTAAAAATTAAACGCCTTCACCATGCAGGCATGGACGAGTAGACCTATATATGACGGGCTCACTTTAGGTAAAATTTCAATCTAAAGTAAACTGTAAGGCAATATTTGTAACTCCGGACAAATGCAGAGGTTACACGTGTCCCGGGCACTTCGATGCCGTCCGAGTTCAGTAGAGATTGTGGACAATCAAACAACGTAGCGCCGGATATCACATATTCAACGGAACAAAAAAACAAAACAAAAAAACATTGTGACTTTTTAAAAATTATATGTATGCAAAAGAACGAAACCAATTAATCGATTATTTAATCGATCAAAAGGGTGGCGATTAATAGGGTAAAAAATTTTAATCGACGCCCAGCCCTGCTGAAAATGCGCCCGTTTTTTGCTGCAAATACGAGGCTTTTTTTTTTTTTTTTTGCTCGTTTGATGAGAAAGCAATCATTATCAGTTTCTGAAGGCTCCCTCCCGTCTTGACCTCGTAAAATCGTGTTAACTTCCGCATATCCGCTTGAATTCACGACATCGCAGCCAGCTCGCCTTCAACTGGTAGAACGCAACAGAGGAAGTGAAAGCGGAAATGCTTTTATTATATTCATTATCTTCTTTCGGCTGTATTTACTATAGATAAACGTGACTGGCCAATGATCACCCAGTTAATTAAATTGTAAGTAGCGTTCCATATTTTGGGGATTTATCTCTTTTTTCCTAATTCGGGAATGCCTTGAGGAATGGTTGGGGGGGCGGGGGGGTATTTTTTTTCCCCAGAGATTCATGGTCTTTATCAATTGTTTTGTTTCGAAGAAAAGAACATTGGGGTTTATCGGTGGGGCTTATGTTGAAGAAAATAGGGCACGAACACGAAATTCCCCAACCTCCAAGGGACATACGCGACAATAATAGAAGGAAACGACATCGGGTGGTTCCGAGGAAGAAAAAAGCAGCCTCGCGGATAGTTCAGTGGGCGTAGAAAAATTTATTTCCGCAAAGCTTGGATTTTTTTTTCCCCCTTCAAGGACAGTTTAAATTCGCCCCCCCCCCCCCCCCCCCCCCCCCCCCCCCCCCCACACACACACACCGATTTGAATAAAAACCGACTCGGAGGTTAATTTCCGGCGTTTATCGACAATTATAGAAAACACGGAACCCTAGTTACAAGGTACTAAGACCCCATGGTTTCAATATTGTCAATGCATGAGGTATTGTTTGTGCATGAAGCACCATTGCTCTCATTTATACTACTATGGCAAAGTTAGAGATGACAAAGGAAGCCGTGAAGCGTTAAAAAAAAAAGTTATTCCTAGGGCCCCTTGAGTTCTTATGCGCAAGCAGGGAGCGACAAGTATAATCTCCCTCTTCATCTAATGCATTTGTCCAGATGTGAGATACAGACAGTATAATGATGGCTCTTCCTAAGCAAGAAATCTGCACTCAATATAGACCGTTCCATTAGGGTCATAGTAGAGAGGGTAATAGAGAGAAAGAATGCCGTCCCCCTCTCACCCCGCATGACGTCTGCTCCGCCGAGTGGCCTGTACCTAGCATCCGGCTGGCGTGCAAACTCGGTTTAAAATCACGTCATTTTGGAAATTCCAAGCGCAGATGCGCAGATTTTGGTATGCCAGTTATTGTGTAATGCTATGCTAGATAAAAAAAAATTAACAGGGTCCAATTGCGCTGTTACCTGCGTTCAAATAAAAAAAAAAAGGAAAACTGTGTCAGATTGGCCGGTCCCTCCGGCGAAAAGTAAATCCGGTTGCTGTACCTTTTTTGCTATACAAAGTTCTTAGTGGTGTAGGCCTTTAGCGACCGTGAGTAGAAGTCTGAAATAATAAATAAGATTGTGCTCTCCTGCCGCAATACACGCAGTAGTTGAGGGTAGTACTGCCGGCTGACTCAACTGCTGTTTAAGTAACGCAAAAAAGATATGCTAATTGATCATTTACCGAAATAGAACAACAGAGAGCTCTAGGCTGATTTTGGAGTAGCCATAGCTATTCTAAGAACGCGAACCACTTCACAACGGCAGCCACGAGCGAGAGTTCGATGCTCCGTACAGCCCGCCGCTACAGCCCAAAGACGGAAAATGGCAACCTCACGGTTTGTCGTCTGCTAGCGGAGTCGGGCGCGTGTCGTCTCCCTCGTTTTACCCACGACCTCCTCTATAAAGGAGGTCGTGGGTAAAAGAGGAGGAGGTCGTGGTTTTACCCCGCCGAACCCGCAGAATTTCCCGGATGTACGGAGAGGGCGCTGCTGTCGAACAAAATGTTGCCGTCTAGAGGAGAAAGTGGCCGAGTGGGCTAACGCGTCTCAGCTCGGAGCGTGGAGCGAAAGCTTGCGCTGGGAACCTCCTGGGTTCGATCCCCGCCGCCCCCGCCCGTTTCGATCTGGATGAGTTTCGTACCGGCACGCGTTCGTGTGATCATTACTGCGTGATGCACGTTAAAAATCCCAGGTTAGCGGTTGTACTGCACTGGCTAAATTTCTCATCTACAGCTAAGAGACCGATTACCCGTTGAGGCGCATCTCCATCAAGGCTGTATAAACATAAAGAGCAAGCCAATTTTTTTTTTTTTGAGCGCTAAATGGAATGGGCATTCGACATATCCACTCCAAGAACCTAATTATTTTTGTTTTTTGTTTTTTTGAGAGCAGTACTTTATTTGCGGCAAATCATTGAGGCATTTAGCTCAAAAATAAACATAATCACAATGTGAGTTTGCGTTTGCATCGTTATATTTTTGCAGATACAAATGTCTACCCTTCCGTTCGTGTACGTCGGGGCGACGGAGTCTCCGATGCTCTTTTGCTGACATACACAATTCAGTTTTACTTTTCGGGGCGAAATTGAATTTCCGTAACTTGTGCAAAGACGGCCAAATTTTGTGCGTGCGCACGAATCCGTTTTGGACGGGTGCCTTTCCCTCCGCATTCTCCCGCGCTGGGGGAAAGAAGCGCCTGCGACAGCGCCGTCCCGAGGCTCGCTTCACCGCACCGCACTCGTGCATCGGGGAAAACGAGCTTAACGGAGCTACACAGCTGAACGAGCGATCCAATTTTTTTTTTAATAGTTTATTTTTATTTATTTATTGCAGCTGAGAGGTTGTCATTAAAGATACTAGTTGTAAAGTGTGTTATTCAATGCAACATTTTTCTTGTAAAATGAGAAAATGTGCAGATGTGTTCAGTTGCACAAATAGCCTATAGTAAATTAGAAAGTAATAACAATTGTTCTAAAAGTTTAAAATATAATAAACAGTACCCTTACACGAAGAAAACTTGTTTTTGAACCTTATTGAAAGTGACACTTTTTTCTAATACAGGCTTTACTATTATAAATGTGAATAGACTTTATTCAGATGGTGTATGTGTACTTTGATATTTGAACCTATATTTGATAGTTTTTAACATTTGTACATGTCTCAAAATAAGTTACATCTTTTGGATAGTAACAGCACACTAATTAGTTGCACTGTGAGACACCAAGAAATGTTTTTTTAGGCCCGAGCCTCAAGAAGTGCATATTGTGCACTGCTACACAACCCCACTAGGACATAAAGATAACGATGAAGAAACTCAAAATCTGCAGCGAAATAATAATAATAAAAAAAAAATTAAAGCAGCCTTTTTCTTTTTTTTGTCTTTCACACAATATCTGGACTTTATTGGGAAGGTTCTGGAAATCCAGATGGTGATGCTCTCGGTCCACGACAGTTAAATGCGGCTCACAGATTAGACACGAGCGCTGCATCATCGTTGTCTCGGACATACTTGTCTGTGTGTCGGCAGATGTTCGGGTTCATGACTAATCCAAGCAATGATAGAAATCGCCAAACTGTGACACACGTTTAGGGCACAGCATACACACTAAGTATTGTCAACCCTCGCATATGGCTGGGGCAAACATTGCTAGCACAAACCGGCGATGGGGATCGCTACTGTTTATTCCGGTCAGAATCATTAGGAAACTTCTCTAGCAAGATAATTATGTCGAGCTCCCTATAACGGCTGTCTCAACAACTTGCCTGTGATAATAGTTCTTTAAAAGGTATGTATGGGCTGGTTAGTTGATGAGCATCTTGGTTTAAAACAGCGTGACAAAACAAGGACAAGACAGAAGACTGTGCCGGCTATTAACTGAAAGTTTATCTCCACCGCTTCCTCTATATATACACATGGGCAACTGCCAAATAAACAGAGTGCAAAAGAAAAAAACTCAAAAATACATAAAGTCTCAGCATCTTATTAGTTAAATTTAGAGGGGTGCAAATATTGAAATTTTCAAATATGAATCAAAAAAGAATATTTGAAAAAATAGCTTTGAATGTTGAATATGTTTCAAATATGTATGTACCATTTAGAAGTAACAAAAAAAAAGATGCAAATACTTTTTATATTACCTTCTAAACCGAAAATGATAATGAATTCAAATAAATACAACTACCGAACTAGGCAACATATAAACAATGCAATTGGTAACACAGCTATTATACCTTGAATAGTATTCACATGTCAAGTGTACATGAAAGCAGGCAAAAAGGTGCAGCTCATAAGTTATACAAACTGACAAAATTAAGAGTGTACAAAACTGCACTTGTCTAGATAGCATGTAAAAATGCAACCTCTAATATTGTCACACAAACAAACCATAGTGACCGTTTTTAAGAAAATAACTGAAATTGCCTTGACTAGCCAGCAAGTTAGATATCAGCTGAATTATTGCAAATCATTGTGCAAGAAAATTAATTGTTCCAGATGCTTTGTACATAAGTGCTTCCTTTTTGCTATGACAACGGCTCCTGCAGCAGAAACTACCCTGTCTAAATCGTGTCACCACTGCATGTCGAATAGCCTCTTAAAACAAGTGTACAGACTTGAAAATGCCGGCCACCCACAGAAGATTATAACTTAAGTGACAGAAAAATTGCTGAAAAACTTGAAAAAGCAGCCAACAAGTGACGAATGGCCAAGAACCCGTAGCAAAAAAGTGTCCATCATTCCACGCTTGCACAAGATTTCCCACGATTTAGAGAGAATAGGAAAAAGAGCAGAATAAGTTCTTTCTGCTCCAGAGCATTTGTTTGCCCTGTGCACGAAAGTGAACAAGATCGGGGAAAAGAGGAAACATTTCACGAAAAAACACAGACCGCCTTTCGTTAACTGTCGAGAATATGTCGTGTATTCTATTCCTCTGCCGTGTGACAGGTTCTACATTGGACACACCGGAAGGTGCATTAATGATTGATTTAGGGAACGTCAGTATAATGTAGCAAAACAAATCTCCGGTCATTTGGTAATTCATTGCCGTGGCTGTGGATGCACCCCCCCCCCCCACCAAAAAAGCAAAATGCTCAAAAGGGCACGGTGACAAACTAACTCAAAAGATAATAGAAGCTTACAAAATAAATAAACTCAAAGACAAAATTCTTAGCATGCCCTCCGTTTGTCTGTCCAATAAAGAAATTTGTTTTTTTACTGATGCATGTTATGGACCAACTATGACACAGCACTGTTAACTAATAAGATGCTGAGACTGCGTATTTCTGTGATTTTTCTTTCACGCTCTATTTATTTGGCTGTTTCCCATGTGTATATTATATTGGGAGCGGTGGAAATAAACTTTCAACTGATAGTCAGCGCTGTTATTTGTCTCGTCTTTACTCTGTTCTTGTTTCGTCGCGCTGTTTTAAACCAAGATGAGAATAGCTCACAAAGGCAACAACCAGGGCTCCATACTCTGCCTTGTTTGTGGCCTTGCATGCTACAGGCATGGAACCCCAGTAGCAAAGCTCCACAAATTCACTGTTCACTCCACAAATTCATAATTCACTCAAGAGTCTGTCCTTCCGAATCGTGTTTGTGTGGCTGTTTTTCCTCATTAGTCACACCATGACGCTATTGTTTGAGAATGTGATTATTTTTGCAGTTTATACTTTACAATAATATTTGAGTCAACAGAATGGCCTGCTGACTTCGAAATCTAGTCTTTGATAATATTTCTGAATGTAACAAATGCCAGACCATGCAGGCAGTGAATGATCCATTAAAGTATTTGCAAAATTTATAGGCTGAATGCTATGAGTGAAATGATTGTGTATAAACAAGTCTAAATGTTTAATGAAGGGCAACAGGGTGTTTATGATGCATTGCGGAGTACCCGGCCATCTCCAGAGGCTCACGGACAATTCATTGGAGGAAGCGAATGAAAAAGTGCTTGACAACTGACACTTTACAACTTCTGATCGTGCAACACATGTGCTTGAAATTTAGAAATTAAGATTGTGCAAATATTTTAATTTTCGAATTGTAGTTTCAAATCGTACGCTATTCGATATTTGCTTCGTGATGAACTGCAATATTCATACTTTTTGAAGTGTTGATCACGGCGAGTTAGCCCCGTTGAGCGCGCTTCTTACCGAGCACTGCTGCACTGCAGAGAAGCAACACCCGCGAAAGCGAGCTTTGCAGGTGTTGCTTCTCTACAGAGCAATGGTGCTCGGTACAAAGTGAACTCAACGGGGCTAGCTTGCCGCGATCAACACTTCAAAAAGTATGAATATCACGGTCGCGTGCTTAGGAGAAAAGCACACTTTTAAAACAGAATGGTGCACGTGCGTGCCTGGTGTAGTTAAAAAGAAACTGAAAATTTTTAAATGTTGATTTCTACATTGCAGTAAAATTTTCAAAATTAAACTGTGGCTATTATGCGAGAGTATAGCACAGTCGGAGATGTCCTGGCAACCTGCCTTCATCATTCCTGATTTCTTTTGCCTATTCGAGATTGAAGAAAGGATATTTGCATATAGCAAGAAGATTTATAAATCCCCTCGATTAAGTATAGCTGGGCATCTCTATAGATTTAATTTAATGCCAAATATGTCATTTACTGGCCCTTCCAATGTAAGAATTTATCTTTCTGAGGCCATAGTTTATAAATATAGTTATATTAAAATTAGCTTAGAAATGAGCAAGTGAAGCTTGGGATTGACAATCACGAGTTCAGCTGGGATGTCGTTTAATAAGCATAATGCAACAGTAGTGAAAGGTTTGGGAGGAACTATTCAGTATGCAATTTAGAAATATTCGGCCAAAACCTCTATTTACTTTGAATTCAAAATGGATTATATTCATACATGCCTATTCAAAATAGTTTCTTCATGAAATGGGCATAAAGTACTTTACTAATACAGATTGTTCTCACGATGGATTCCAAAGATTTTGGCCCAAGGCTCAAACAACAGACATCTGGCAGGATGGTGTCCATAAACTTATGCCAAAATATGACGAATGTCTTAACATATAAGAATATTGTATCGTAAGGTTGGTGGTGGTATGAGAATTCATAAAAATTCGTTAAGCACTTTACAAGTAATGTGTCTGAAGTTCCTTATTTCGAAATGGAACTTACGTATTGGATGCACATAATGAAATCCACCCTATCTTTCCTCGAGGTTCACCCACACTTCAATTTGTCTTCATGAAATTACACTTTTGGTTTGAATACCCTACCGAGTAATCTGACGAGCATGTGCGCACAATGCATAACTGTAGCCTAATATTTTTACACTAGCAGATGTGGGTTCGTATACAAATAACCGGGTTCTCGGTAAAGTCTTGTATCAGGAAGAATGCAGACCTGACTCGTCACCGCATGCAGTTCACCGAACTCGTGCGTCTAACCCGTTCTTCTCGGCTGTCCTTGAAACTCGCAAGCGTGCGGCCTTGGCAGCATGTCTTTCCAAAAAGTGGCGGTGCATGTCTTTATAGTGTCACTTCTCTGACCCCGGAAATCTGTGTGGCTTCTCCTCACTGAAAACAATTTTTTTCCTCCCGACAGCGGCATTCCCGCAGTTTCCCCAACTTCTCTCTTCTGTCCTGGGGCTTTGTGTGCTGTGCTCGGCTGGAGTAACTTGTGGTTGTTTTCTTGTTTTTTTTTTTTCGTCTGTCCCCCTCCCGTGTTTTCCAGGGGGAACCATCCCTGCGCCTCGTGCAGGTTTCCAGAATTCGGAAGGTACTCTCTCAGTTCCGATATCCTAGTGGTCGTAGGCAGTTCCTTTTTTTTTCTCTCACGGGGGTTGGGCCTGCTCACTCTCTTACTCCCTGTGCATGTGGCGGCCTCTGGGAATCCCCTCGGCCCAAGCCAACCTTTTTTTTTTGTCACGCGCTTTTTTGCACCCTTGGGTTCAGCCTGTTTTTCTGTCTGTATGCGCAAACGTTTCAGGACTGCTGCCCTTTTTAATGGTGTTTTCTGTGGTGTGGGGCTGTCTGGTGCGTGCTCTGCTCGTTTTTTGGCATGCATATTGCAAACTCGAAATCGGTCATTTTCTTTTTTATGACTGCTACTTATACTTGTCTATTCTGTTGCTGAATGCTTGCAGCTTTTTTGGTGACTTCCGTTCGCTTGTTTTCACGTTTGTTTGTGCACAGTGTCTGCATAAAATTTAGGATTTATGCTGTTTCTCTGTTTGGCTCAAAATGTTTGCCCATTATAGGGGTGTTCTCGAACTTCCCATAGCTCTCTTTCCAAAAGTAGATATTGAAAGCATGAAGGTCTTGTTGATATTGTGATATTGTTCTTAAATGTATTTTGCTATAAGTTGTTCTTATTAATTAATGTGGTAGGTGTATTATAGCCATGTCATTTTTCTTTGAATTTGGTGGCATTATCACTTCTCATACTAATTCAAGTTACGCAAAAGATTTGTAGTGTTTCATAAAAAAAAAAATAGAATCGAGTAAGCCAGATTTAACTACTGAATTACTTTTCAGAATAGTGTAATAAATTGATTCTATTAGAGTACATGAAAGCCTGCATGTATGAAGAAATTTAACATACTGAGAGTCTAAATATCTTAAACACAATTTCAAGACAGTGGTGATAAATGACAGTGCAAGGGCTGTAATGAATGTCTGCATGTTTATTTGTTCATTGAGTTGCCTAGTCTGTATCGTAGGATCTGTTGCTTGTCCTTGAAAGAAGTGTCTGGATTTTCAACATTTTTCTTTCCTGCTTGAGATTAGCCTACGTTTCTGACATTTGTTATTTGAGTTAATTGCCCATTTCTTGATCTGTTAATCCCCGGCAGTTCTTTAAGATTTCGACTACAATTGGCAATGTTTGTGCATATTTTTATTTAAAAAGAAAGAGCTGTATTTATTGTGTTAAAGTAAGTTTTTAGCAATAAGTTAATAATGAGATATTGATTTTATATGACTGAGACACCTCAAAAAAAGATTGGCAGGTTCACACAAACCACTTGCTTTTATCAACTGATTTTTTTGAGTGTCACATTTTCAAAGGGTTATATGCTAAAATGCAAGCATAAGCCATTAGCAACAGGGGCGGATTTAGAGGGGGGGTCCGGATGTCCTGACCCCACTCTTGATTTCTGCATGTGTAAAATTTAGGGCGTGAAACGAGGGAGAGGGGGAGGGGGTTCCTAAACATAATGGTACGCTGACCAACACCTGACCCCCCCTCAGGAAATTCCTGCATCCGCCCCTGATTAGCAAGCATGTGCGTTAATCTCCCAACATAAAAAAAAAAGAAACAAAAAAACAAACAAACCTAAAAGCATAATTTTAAGGCATTTTGAATTTGGAAGTGCCTTCTTCCCATAAGCTATGCTTGAAATTGCATCGAAAGCACTTCACAGCAGTGCCGGTCTAAACTTAGCAATAATTCAGAATAGAAGCCATGGAAAAAGAATGAGGGAGAACCCAGCTGCCTAGAGTGGCCCCCGGTCCCACAAAACACCGCCAGAGAACCTTGATACATTAAGCTGCAGATTTCTGCAAGGGTTGGCCACCCAATAAGCCAGGAGAGTCAGATAACCGGCGAGTTGATGTGTGCAGTCAATGTGTGTGACAGTACTGCCAACCTTAAGGATTTTCTCCTAGATCTAGGGATTTTGGACATTGTTTAGGGGAAAAAAGGAAATCTATTCAAATCTGGGGCTATTTTGTTTTATCTGGGGAGGTGTTATTTTGTTTGTAAAAATTTGTGCAAAATGCAAACAATTTTTTTGTGACATATCACAAGAAGTTTCTAGAGCTGTATATATATATATATATATATTCAGGAAGTTTAAAGGAATGATTGGAGCACCAAGGTGGCATGCTGGAGTTGAGTACACATGCTTTCTGCCTGTAGAAAATTTTTTTTTTTTGCATAAAATGCTTTTTTTTTAGATTTTTGCATGAAAAAGTTATTGCTCTATACTCTATCTCACGAGTTCTCTTCAGTACTACTTCAGTTCTTATGAAAGTGGTGGATTTCCAACTCTCCCAGCATAACCGGCTCACAAGTTACAATGCCAACATCTATTTTTAAGCTAAAACATAACAATAATTTCAGCATTTGCGTCAACAAAGGCATTTTGCAGAAAGCTAGGGAATGTTCGGATAAAACTTGGGGAGAAAGTGGCCTCAGAGGTTGGCAGCACTAGTGTGCTCGCGCTGTGCAGCCGTGCGTTCCCGAACGCACCTGAGCGATGACTAATGGCAGAGCGCTGCACCCTGAATGCAGGTTGCTGTCTTTGTGTGGCAGGCCTCTCCGAGTCTTCGACATTCTGCCGCCAGAGAAAGGTCGGGCTGTGGCATTTGAAATTGGTGCGTGCTACTATGAGACGAGCGTGCTGACGCTGTACGGGGTGAGCGAGCTGTTTGAGAATGTTATCCGGGCGGCCCTGGTGTCGAGGAAGCAACACCACTTTTGGATGACCAACCTCAAGCATGTTCTCAGCCCACAACTGCAGGTAGGTGGTATTGTGATTACGTCTGCAGAAATTTGCCTTGAGTTTCATCAGGGCTCAGCTGCTAGCCATATACTAGACATTACACCTAGTTTTGGGGTGGGGGGAAATTTTGTCTCTAAAAAAATAAAGAAATATTGGTCTAACTTTGTTTTTGGTACCTTCAGTTAAAAAGAATAATTAGCGACATAAATTAATGCTTTGGTTGTGTAACTCTGTCATTGAACGCGAGATTCACAAACAATTGAACCATGAAGATTCATAGTGATGTACTGTGCACATTTCTTGGGGATGATTAAAGGCCCGACCACACTAGCGTGAACGGCGCCCGGCACGCCGTCCGGCGTCCCAACGCGAGGAGTCCACATTGGCCTCCGTTTTGCAGGCGTCACGTGACAGCACTGGATCCCGCGATCACGCCTCCCGTCGGTTTTCCCGGTTTTCCCGCTCTTTCGTCGTCTGCTCTTCGTTAGATTCTTCCGTTCCGCACTCGCTGTCTAGACGGTAGGAGTTCATAATGACCTGGTGATCAGCGTGAATGTGATTATCCTAGCCTGCTCGTTGATCTTGCGACGTCGCCGCGCTCTGAAGGGAAGGAGGCGCAGGTTTTGGGTCCGGCCGAGTTGGTTCTACCGAAACACCGAAGGACAGGACAGGTCTGGCGCGCCGCCGGGGCTTTGCTGCCCCGGCGGCGCGCCAGAGATGAAGGCTACTCTCGAAAGTGTCACCAACTCAACACGACATCCGTCACAACAGAGACGACATGCAACAAGTGCCACGGAGAAACTCACTTGTAATTCTGAATTCCTCTCCTATAATTTCCCAGCGGTTAGTTTCAAGGAACCGCTCCGTCGGGGAAGGCATTGGGGGGAAATAGGGGGAGCAGACGACACGAAACACGTCCTTCGCTTCGAGACGCGCCGAGGACCGGCTTGAGCGTTGCCATGGCATCGCGACGTCACTATCTACGCCACCTCCCATTGGCTCCTCTCTTCTGCGGCGTGCGGCGCTGAGCTCAGAACCGCGCACGGAGCGGTTGGGTGTGCGGCGCCGCACGTCGTGACGTTGAAGCCGAAAACTGGTTTCCGCCGGCAACCGGCAGCGACGACCGTCGCGCCGCAGGCCTCCGAAACGCCAATGTGGTCGTGCCTTAAGGAGACACAAGTGCACCCAAAATAATCTGAGTTCTGTATCTTTTCTGCATCTCCTCATTGTTGTACCCTTGCAAAAGAATCCTACGATAGCACGATTGTGGATTGTAGGGGCATGTGCACAAAGTTTTGAGATGGTTTCATCTCAAAACTTCTGAACTAACTGTATGCACACGCATATTGTTGGTTTCATTGTGAGAGGAAATTTCTAAACTCAAAGCCTCAGACTTTTGATGAGTATGGATATTGTGAGATAGAGTGTAGAATGCGAACAAAATTACACTAAAAAGAGATTAGTTGGGCAAAAAGTAGGCTGGGTGACACCAAAACTTTTAGGTCAAACAGTTTTTTGTGACAAAGCAAATGAAGTGAGTTTTTTACTCGTACCATTTACATAAAAAAAAGCCGAATCGTGGAAGCCACCGTTGCATACAGAAATTACTGTTAGTCATTAAAACTGGTTACACTTTTTTTTTTTCATGAGAGCCTATCTACAGAAGGGAACAAAGCATGGCACATGCGTTTTTATATGCTTCAATGTCTGTTGCTGGATAGTGCCTGTTTGAAGAACTCATTAATTAATCCCCTCTCTTGCACATCAAACACATTTTGATTGACTGCAACTGCCAACATGATAATTCATTGACTCGTAGCTGAGGCCACTATTGATAAATGATCAATGTTCTTATCAGTGACCGACACCTGCTGCCCATTTAATCTTGTGCGTATTATACGTTGTATACCATATTTACTCGTATAATAGCTGCACTAGCATTTATGAACAAGGCCCTTGCGTCGACTTTCCCGCAAAGCACATTTACAGCCAATCATTGTGTTGCGCATAAATGACATAGCGAATAACTAGATAAAGAACACGAATCTCCATACAAATGCAATCTTCTCAGAATGTATCTTCGCGCGAAGACATTATCTCTGTCCTGTAAACCGCTGGAATCATGCTGTCGATTGCAGTGATTGGCAATCCGCGTGCTTCGTGGAAAAGCAAACCCTCAGGTTTTCTTCATAAACAGTGCGGCTATTACTCAAGTGAATGCGGTAGTCAAATTTTCTGTCCACCAGCTTTTTGTTTCCAGCCAAGTCCATGCTCTATCCTTTGTCTCTTTTTTCAAGGGTTTTTGCCTTGTGGTGACTTCCCAGTATAGGATTCGCTGATAGAAAAAGAGTCCATCTAGCCGCCCCCTTAAAGTTTTTGGACAACCATGCAGTCTGACCGCCACTGGGCTCTGCTTACTTCGGCGCATGTACAGTCAAACGCCATGGGGAGCATGCAGAGTATTACAGAGATGAGATGCATAGCCTCGAGGCCAGGCAGCCGAATCTACAATGTCGGAGTTACTAAATCAGTGAATGGCAAAAAGTGTTTGGCAATGTAATGTATCATTTGTTACATTTTTCTCAGGCCCATGGGGAGAAATTGTGCAGGTATATCGGTCTTGAGCAAAAGCTTATGCTGGCTGTGAAGTTACAGCTGCGACGTGCACTTGAATTTATAAGGTAGCAGACAACCAGTGCCCCTCCGTTGTAACCTTGCATGATGCGCGCATCACCTACAGCCAGTGCTGCACTATAGACACAGCTATTTAGTTAATGCATGATGGGTGCTCTGGCAATACGGTACACTTTTTTTACTTGCTTCTTTTTACCTCGAGATCTGAAGGCCCTGGGTAGTGGATGACTTGCGGATGGCTTTGGTTTCTTGTGGTGTTTGGTTTCGTCAGGCTGAAGTGACTTCCAGAAAATCCCACTGCCCGTTCTTCATGCAGGCTCCCTTCTGCCCCCCCATGCCGGAGCTGGGGGAACTGGTTGTGCCCCCGAGTCAGTTCGAGGAGCACATGGAGGTGCTGTTCAATGCCCAGGCGTACACTGACGCCATCTTTGTCTCGGAAGGAGTAGGCATCCCCGCACACCGCTGGCTGCTGGCAGCCATGTGCAGTGCCTTCCAGCAACTCTTCACCTGCGACATCGAAAACCAGTCACTAGAGGAGGCAGAGAGCATCAGCGATGCGAGCATGGCAAGTGGCGAGGATTTCACTTGCACGTCTGAAGATTCTCGTATAGTCTAAATTATTTCTCAATTCTTCGCTGAGGCATGCCAAGTGCCCTACGTTGGTTTGGCACATTTACCTCAAAAATTTACTTTTTGTTTAAACCGTTGTTGCACTGTTATTTAAGCTTGTGTAGAAAGTTGCTTTAAACTCCTTTCTTTTCCTACAATTAGGAAAATGCACGGTCTACACCCCACTGAATTTTGCAAATTTATATAAACTTCTATGGCTTTCTACTCTTGGGAAAAGCAGTACCGTGGTATCAGGAGACAACCTTTATACCAGGGGTGGCCAGGCTGACCCGGCCTAAGAGCCGCAAACAAAACCACGAAACTTCCAAGAGCCGCGGAGGAGGGGGGGGGGGGGCAAACTTTTACTGAGAGCAATAAATGAAACTCAAACTACTTTCAATCTATCCGAGTCAAAAAGCAGTTCAACTGTACGTAAGATAGTAGTAGCACAAGACTACCAAACCGCACCCTCTCTTTCGATTTAAAACGCATTTCATTTCTCTTTTTGGGAAAGTGCGCATGTGACCGGGAGGGAAGTGGGGAAGTGTGGGGGGGGGGGGGTGGTTAGGAAGGGAGCCGCGAGCTACACTTTGAGATGCAGAGAGCCGCATGAGGCTCGCGAGCCACAGCTTGGCCACGTCTACTCTATACTCTCTTTCATCATAAGTGTGAATAGAACCAAGGCTATAAGTGCACACATGTTAGCTAAAATGACACTTTAATTGGGCGCGAAAGTCCGTGCTCCGGAGCGCGAAAGTTTGGTGCTCCTTTCACTAAGCAGAAAGGAGTGCCGTCGGAAACCGACACTTGAGCGCACTCTTCGTGCACCGAATATTTCTCGGAGTGTGAGTGACTTCTTTGCGCTCTATAACGTCACATCCACAAACAAGATGGCTGCGCTGTTTTTCGAGACCATCAAGATGAAAGGCGTAGCCGGGCCGCTGCCCCTTTTCAGTGGATTAGTGCTTAATCTAGCAGGTAAAAAAGATTTGATTTGAAAGCCAAGACAGCAATTAGCTCTGGAAAAGGTTTGTTTGTGCATCTCGCCTGAAAACGAATTCATCTATCAAATGGTAGCGTGCCGATGGCACAGCGACAGAAGAGTTGTCGAGATGAGAGACATTTGGACCGCTGCCCCTTTTATAATGCACAGCTCGGCAAATAAAGATATTTCAAGTGAAAAGCCGAAACATCAGTTAGCGTTGAGGAAAAGGTTTGTTCATGCATCTTGCCTGAAAACGAATTCAGCTATTGAACGGTAGCGTGCGGACAGCACAGCAACAGAAAAGTTGTTGAGATGAGAAGACAGTCAGACCGCTGAAGAATGTTTAGCCCAGTGAATCGACATACTTCGATTGGAAAGCCGAAACATCAGTTAGCGTTGCGGAAAAGGTTTGTTCATGCACCTCGCCTGAAAATGAATTGACGTGTTGTCTATTGAATGACGGTTTGCCGGTATCTGCGTAGCACATCGACGGCTTCCGTCATGCGTTCCAAGACGGAACCACGAAATATCTGACAAGTTTGAGGGTTTCCTGCGTCGACAAGCGGGTTTAAGAACGTTGTCTTTAATTTAAATATGAACAGCATGCATGGTCAATAAATAGATTGGCCAAGGTAACTTTCCACATATGTGCTCGAATCGAGTCTTCAAACCTTTCAGGAATATTAAAACATTCATAGAAACTTCAAAACGTCGCCGCCTCTTTTACTTTACATTCTGCTGCTCCACCCAGGCCTAATTATTTTATCTTTGAAATAATTTCGGCTTCTGCCACCTGTATCCACGAGATGCCGGCATAATTGTGCGGTCGAAAGGAGCTCGTGCGGCTCGTCGATAGTTTCCGTGTGTCGTGCTCCTGTACGCCATGCGCCGTCTAGTTGCTGTGCTCGGAGTATGAAATTCGTAGCGTCGGATTAGGAGTAAAGGAGCGCGGACTTAACTTGCCCATTGGCTCAAACTCATGTGCGTGGCATGGCCTACCCAAAGTATGGTGCTCGCTCTTGCATCTCCTGCTTTGCTTGCACATATGGTAAAACGAGGTTTAGTAATTCCTCTTGCTTCTACTTTATTAATCAGCGAGCTAAAGGAAAAGATTAAGTTTCCATAAAATATGACTACTTTAGTGTTGTGTCCAGTGTCTAGTCAAAGAAGAAATTGTAGTTAGTCGAGAGGACACTAGAGGCAGTTGGAGACACCATGATTTTAAAAACCACAGTTGTAGCTAGGGTCTATTAGCCATATAAGGTCCATGGCATTTAGCATGTTCAGATGTCTATCACATACTTGGATTTCAGGGCAAATGCTTCATTAATTAAGCTAGGAATCGGCTCTTACGCATATTGTTTGTGTCTGGATGTTATGAAGGGGGCAAACATATGAGAGACTCTCTGCTCATTATCATGAAATTCTTTTTTTTTTTTAAACATGCTTTCTCGGCGGTTTCAAAGAATCGAATGGAATGCCCGAGCTAGATTGGTTCTTTTGTCCTTGCAGGAAAGCTCTTTGGACTCGTCCCAAGAGAGCGAAAATGGCGACGCAGAACAGGCAATTGCCGAGCGCCAACTACCTCTACATTCTTTATTCCGACTGACGGTACCCTACGGCAGTGACAGCGCGGTGACAAACTGCGTGCCTGTGCGACACCGAGACAGCTGCCAGAGGTACCCAGAAGGAGTGGGACAGGCGTCGGGAAGTCTTGCGGCATGCCCGGCGGTCGTGCAGAACCTGAATTACCTGCCGTTCACGGCTGCCGACGTGGGACAGTGCGAGAGGCTGGGCCATCGAGGTGGACTGGTCGTCGTGCTGGCTACACAGGCTGTAACGTCTGCCGCTCTCCAGGAATGTCTGAGGTGTGTGCTGGAGGGCTGTTGGGGAATGCAAGTAACTGTTAGTTCTTTTAGTGCTCCCGAATTGCAGATTGTGAATGCTTTTATGGCAATAGCTCGGTTTTCCATTTATCGTTCATTATAGAGGTCAAATGATGAGTGACAAATGATATATTGGGCTCATAATCCTAAAAGGCGAAACTGGAAGGCTTATCCAACCAGTCAATCTTACTATTTATTCCAATATCTTCTGTTATGTGCCTGTGTACCTAAATTGCAGTAATGTATGTAGGCCAGTGGAAGCAAGTGGAGGCTTACCGTATTTACTCGAGTAATTGCCGCACTGTTTATGAAGAAAACCTGAGGGTTCGCTTTTCCGTGGAGCCCGCGGATTGCCAATCACCGCGATCGACAGCATGACCTCAGCGGTTTACAGGACAGAGATAACGTCTTCGTGCGAAGATACCATCTGTGAAGATTGCATTTCTATGAAGAATTGTGTTCTCGATCTGGTGATTCGCTATGTTAATTATGCGCAACGTGATGATTGGCTCTATATGTGTTTTGCGGGAAAGTAAAAGCAAGGATCTTGTTCATAAATAGTGCGGCTATTACTTGAGTAAATACGGTAGTCAGCTTGTGTATATTTGGCAGTTTGCTGGTGTATTAGCTCAATCTATATGCAGATGTTGGATTTTTTTTTTTAGGTTTTTGTATACAGGTCGAGTTGACTTGACAGCTTGCCCAGTTGCCGAGATTCAAGAAGCAGCAAGCCTGATCAGTGTACCAGAGTTGATGGTGGGTAACCATTGCCTTGCATATCATTTTATTTTTGTGAATAGGTCGAGTTTCAATGTATGTCTTACACCAGATATCCAGGGTCGGAATTATTCTAAATTAGGCATTTGCGGATAGTGGATTTTGCGTTAGAAGCGAATTCGAAGCGAATAGTGTTTGACCAAATATTTTAATGCGAAACCATTAGCTATCGCATGGAGTGAGCCGATGTCATCAGTTTGAAGTGTGCCAAACGGCATCTTAAATCCTTTCTCCAAGTGAAGCCAGCTCCCAGCTATGAAACCACGTGAAACGTCTAGACAACGGCACCTAGTTTTCCCGATCCCAAAGGAGCAGAGTAAAGCTGATGGATTTCGCCTTCGATCCCATTGGCTGGTGCGCGTTATCGAGGCTCCCATTGGCCGCTGCGCGCGTCAGTTTCAACGACTGCCACCCCATGGCGCTGCGTGCCCGTGCCACGAGCGTGCCTGTAACATGAAGCGTCCAAGGTCAGAGCTGTGAGGAGAGCTGGGAGAGCGCTCGCACGGCAGACGCAAATAAGCCGCTAAAGAAACATGGGAGCGGAAGAACGGCACGCATGCTTTTGCATTCACAACTCATAAGAAGTGCTTAGGTGTACCTCGAGCCTTTTATTTTCTAATCCAATATTGAATAGTTTCTCCAAGCTTTTCACTACTTCACCATGTCTAAACAAAAACCCATCTGAACTTGTAAAGGTTGTTGCCAAGCTTCCACTTATCCATATCTACGCTAATTTTAATCTAGCTATATTTATGAACTGTGACCTCAGAAAGTTGATTGCGCACATGAAAATGGCTAGTAAACGATGCAATTAAACCTATAGAGATGCCCAGCTATACCTAATTAAGTGGATTTATAAATATTCTTGCTATATGAAAATATTCTTTATTAAATCTAGAATTCGAGAAAATAAAAAACGACAATCATGTATGATGAACGTAGGTTGTCAGGACATCTCTGCCTAACATACTCTTCCATAATAGCCATAGTTTAATTTTGAAAATTTGACTAGAGTGTAGACATTCACAAAGTTTCCACTTCTTTTTACACACATCACGCGCGTGCATGCACCATCGTGCTTTGACAGTGGGCTTTCCTCTTCAGAATGTGAGTGCAATATTTGTACTTTTCGAAGTGTTGACCACAGTGGGTTAGTCCCGTTGAGCGCGCTTCTTATTGAGCACTGGTGCACTGCATAGAAGCAAGAGCTCTACAGGTGCTGCTTCTCCGCAGTGCACCGGTGCTCAATAAGAAGCGCACTCAATGGGGCTAGCCCACTGTGGTCCACACTTTGAAAAATATGAATATCAAAGTTCATCTCGAAGCAAATATCGAATAGCGTATTATTCAAAACTACTATTCAAATATTTGCACAAAACTATTCGAAACCAAAGCACCTGGGATGTCTTCAGGAATAACGAGTGAACCTTTTGCTGTATCTAAATTCTATCTGAGAACATTTCCTCTAGTTTACAAGACATTAGGAAACGCAGAGTTAGTGCTCATTGGGCTAGATTGCAGTGGAAGTTCCATTATATTTTGTGGACACATATTTTGTAATGGCACCAGGGGACCCTTCAGATACATTTCAGTAGTTAAAATGGCTGCACTACATACGAGTTCTGATCTCTTGCTCATACTTAGTGCAGGGTAATGTGCAGTAGAGCAGACACTGTACCTGGTTTAAAGGTTGAATTTGGAGACACTGGCTTGAATTAATTGCAAGCACCTGTACTGTTTTCAGGCACATACCAACAACATTCGGATACAGGAGGGCGGTGAAACTCTCAACACGGAACTTGTGGAGAACTTTCTGAAGAAGCGGAGATCAAGGTTGAAAGATGTATGCCTCAACGAGAGCTTGTTTTCCGGTGAGTGAAAAAAGCATGCGTCTTGCCGGGGAGTTCACTTGTTATTGCTGGAAATATTCTCCCGGGACATCAGTTGCCGAGTCTTTTATTAATTTCTTTTTCGGCACGCAGACGTGCTGTTTCAATTGGATGACGGCTTCTGTTCTGCTCATCGGGCTCTGCTGATGGCCCGATGTGACATGATGGCTGCCATGTTCAGGGGAGACTTCCGAGAAAGCTCAGCCAAAGTGGTGAGTGGGCACTAAGACGTTATGCATTACTTTGATGTGGAAATGAATTGAAAACTGCTTTGATGGTAGGGATGAAAAAGGGACTCGGGATTCCGGAATGGTTGTTGTAGGCAAAACAAAGGTCTTATTTATGAAACGGGTAATGAATTAGTGTTGAAGCATTATATAAATTTGAATGTCAAGTTTAGTCATAAGGGATCCTACTCACAAGCTCTCGCACTGGCAATGTGACTGCAGCCTTGTGGATGGTCCATGGGCTCATAGATGCTCTAAGAAAGGGCTTGGTGTTGGTGGGGGGTCCTCGGCAGCTTGGTTGGTGGCCAACACGGACCGTCAGACGTGCGTCCGAGGCTTTACTTGGCTGTCGGGACCACGGGTGTTGAGCCATTCCTTTTCACCAAGCCGCCTTCTGTCTCGTGTCGCGAGCGTGCATGTGCCGTCGCGTCGGCTGCGGTGTCTTCTCTTCTTTTTCAAACAGCTGCTTGTCAGGAAATATATCAGATTGCTTTGGCCTTTCAAATAGGATGCTGCAGAAAGTATCACTGTCTTTCTTGGGTGTGTTTTGTGCCTTGCTCATGTTAAACTGAATTCTGAATGAGGCAGTAGCGTGTTCCTTTCAATGGAAGGAAGGAGATCTTCCAGTGGTACTGTATCTCGTAATGGTAGTGGTACTGTATCTCATTGTGTTCGTGTGACTCTCGGTCAAACGGCTGGTTTCTTGTTCTACTAAAAAAGCACATGAAACTATGATGTCACGTGACGCTGTGATGTCATAGTGCCATGTGACATCATGGTATCACATTGTCATGTGGCATCACAGTGTCACGTGGCATCGCCGTGTCATGTGATGTCATAATGTCGCATGATGGGATGTGACACTGTGATGTCGTCGAGGCTACATACCACGGACACAAGATCCCTGAGGCTGGCCCTATAAATGTTATGCATTTAATATTGCAGCCCACTACTTATTACCCCCATACCCGAACCCAATGTGTCCAAATGCCTCCAAGGGCAAGCTTGACCTGCCGAGCCCTTTTCTAATTTTTGTGCAGTTTGCTCCTCAGCTTACCTGCTATCTGAAACCAAACACACATAGAGGAAACCAAGTGGAAAACACTTTTTGAAGTCTGATCATTTTTCTTTTGTTTTGAAATACTGTATTTTCGTGCATATTACCCGCCCCTGCATATAACCCGCACCACCAACTTGCTACTCTCGAAAGGGAAAAAAAAAACAAAAAAACAAAAAACACCTTGCATATTATTTGCAGTAACCATGCAAAGGAATGTCCAGGTCTCGCTAGAAAGAAACCCTACCTTTCATTTCAATACACTCGTCGCTGCAGTCACTGTAGATATCTGAGGTGAATTTATTGTCACTGGCAGCGTCGTAATCCTTGCCGTCAAGGTGATTACTGATGCAGCACTTTTTGAAACTGTTCCGCACCTTCTCGTCTGGAAAGGATGTTGTCACACCTGATCTCTGTCGATACGATGTGACCACGACCTCTTCTCTCCTCGGCAAACTTTGTTAGTGCTTTTTAAAGCTCGGGGTATGCACCAGTCTTCGAACTGCAGAACAATCTTCAGTCATAGCTTGCAGTATGCAGGCCGTCCTTCCTTCATTCTCATGAGCACGACTTGTGGACATCGTAGCGGCCATAGTTCTGGTCTGCCACTCGGTTTACGGTTTCTTTGGCAACGGATCGGACGACAGTCGGATCCTTTGCCATAAAGATTGGAAACCGCGAAAATCGTTGCCGTCAACAGCAACACGTGTTTGACGGCAACGACACTTTGCGCGTTCCCACCTAATTGATGGCTTTGCTCAGCTGCTCAGTCTGCAAAAATAATGCAAAGGTGGCTACCCAAAAAAGGATAAGGTGGGAAAAAAAAAGTCCCTAGGAGAGACCGGAGAAGAGGGACTCCGGGGAACCTATCCCTACAGCTTCATGTGGATTGCTGTGATGCTGCACTGCCTGCCGAAATTTGCGTATAACTTGCACCCCTACTTTACCTTTGATTCCATATAAATTTTGATGCTGGTTATATGTGAGAAAATATGGTATCTTGTTTGTCAAAGGCTTATGCCCATTCTAGTGGAAGTTCCCAAGGTTTAACACAAAAATACATTGACTTCCATCTGATCTCACTCTTCCAATGGTTACGATCAAGAACCAAGACTGGTGCCGACTCTTAACATCCGTTGGCCCTGCTGACAACTAGCTTGTGGTTAGCTCAGTTGGTAGAGCGCTCTGCTAGCCTTCAACAGGTCCTGGGATTGTATTCTGAACCAGGCAGATTTTATCGACGGCCACCAATTGCAGGCTTGAGTTGCGCTCCATTTCAGGTGGAAGTCGATTTATTTTTGTGTCAAAGGGCTAAACGGTTCCCTTCTGTTGAAATATGCCGAGCAACTCTTTTTGATCAAGATCCCACTCGCGCAGGTGCACTTTCCGGGTGCTCGGAGGGAGTGCTTTGAGCGGCTTCTGACATACCTGTACACGGACAGTGTGTCGGACATCATGAGCACCAACGAATGCCTGGACCTGATTGAGCTGGCCAACAGACTGTGCCTGCCACGACTCATCTGCCTGATGGAGCAGAAGGTGATCTCGGAGCTGACTGCCCTGAGCAGCAAGGACGCAGATGCCGCCCATGTGCTGGCACTCACTCTGCTCGAGCCTAGCCAGGTGACTCGCTTGGACACCTCTGCGTCATCGGTGGTTGGAAGCAGTCAGTCTTTGTGAGGCTAGGTAGAGCTGGGATTGGTCGGACAAGTGACCTTCAATATTGAGAGGAGACGGAGATAGAGGGGTGATATTTTGATGAAATGTAGCTCCTAAAATCATCTATTCACTGGTTGGCTGATTCTTTGTGGGATATGCTTATGGCACATTTTAGAGAAAAACAGAAGAATGTGGGATATACCATAAAAGCCCGCTTATAATACAAAATTTTTTTTTTCCAGATTTTCGCTTGTATAATTTGGGCTCGTGTTATATGCGATTTCATCAATTCCATGAATGCGTGGGTTCACATTTTTTTCATTTCATTTAATTTTATTTCCTTCAAGACCCCCGGAGGGTATTACATAAGGGGTAGATGCCAAAAAGATTTTAAAGCTAGTTTTGGTTTCCAAGTGATATGGCGTCAAATCACTCATCGTCGTCATCATTATCTGAAGGTGCACACTTGCGTCCCCACCAAAACTTGACACCATGCAGTCGCCAATTTGTCTTTGTTTCTTCGTGTCCCGCCGCCCCCGGTTCCCCCACACATCCCACCAAGTTATGTGATGGTACCATCATGTAGGAAAAGAAAGGTTATCTAAGTGGCTGGGAGTGTCGGCAAGAGTGCAGCAGGACGAAAGTGTATGGTGATTGAAGACTGCATTCGTGGATGGAGGAGACACAAACAAGCCCTTTTCGTCAGCACAGACCCAAGATATTTCTGTCGGCCGAAAAAAGTTTGCCAGGATCAAAGTGAACCTGACTCGGTTCATGAAGGAACAATGTGCTTTGCACTTCGCGGTAAACATTTAGCTACTGCAGGCAGAGACTATGGAACTGAGTGTTCCTAGGCTATACGAGGATAAATCTTTTTGCTCGCAGTACTCAAGTTGTATTTTGTAATATATGCGGGCTTGTATTATACATGGATTTACACAATAGGTTCATGGCTGACAGCATCACCTATCAAATGAACCTTTCACTAGGGCTTGCATCAGTGGTGCTTGGTGGACGTCAAGAACATTTACTTGCATCGTTAACCTTTCGACACTCATTGCCGTACATGTACGGCAGTGATTACACATTTTAAAGTGAACGCCTAAACGCAAAACTGTGCACACCGCGGGAGGTGTTGCTATTTGTTATGTCTTTTGTAAACTGTAAACGTCATATTCAGACGTTGTTTCGCATTGCTGAGCTATTTATAGTTTTCAAATTGGACACTATGTGCACACAATGCTCACTTCGCATACCGGCTGCTTTGGCGGTAGTGCCCATGGGAGCACTGGTTCTTCCGATTCAGATTTCCAAAGCTTTTAGGAATTTAATTTAGAGGATGAGAGCTCATCATCCAATGGAGAATTCTGTAAGGTACCTCTGGTTAGGAATCTGAAGCCGCTGGAATGTCGCGGAAATGAATTTGCCCAAATGAAACCAAGTATGATAGAAATATGACAACTTTTCGCCTTTAATACTTTAAATTTATGCTTCTAAACCTAACCAGCTTGCAAGCACTGTACGTACCCCCGCTAGATAATTAGGAAAAAATCTGTGCATTGACCCTTTCTTTATACTACTGTTGAACCTTGATCTAGCGAATCCCGACCTAACGAAATTCGCAATTTCACAATATTTTTTTCGTCTCCCTATCTTGCTTCCGTTGAAGACAATGTATTTTATCTCTCGATTTAGCGAAGTAACTTCCCGCGCCGCAGTTTCGATTTAACGAAGCCTTTGGAAATCGCATATACACATATATCAACAACCTCTGCGAGAAAAAAAAAAATTTAACAATCAAATTTTATTGTTGAAAACTAAGCATAGAAATGTGCAATCATTATCTTTTTCACAAAATAAAAAAAAAAGTACACACCGGTGGTGGTGGTGATGATGATGAGTAGCCTCGTAGCCTCTGCCTCTCGTAAAAAAAAAAAATGTCCGCCATTACACGACCCTACGCCCAACAAACTAGAGCTCTTACCCGTCTGTAAGAACAAAAATTGTTTCGTGCCTCGCGTGTTCTGTTCTGGGAACAATTACTGGTACACCGCGCAAAAGGAGAGTTCTGTCGCTCAACATCAAGGCGAAAAAATTCGCTGAAGTGACGAATGGCGAAAAGAAAAAGATGGTTGCTGAGAAGTATGAAATATCGCAGAGTTCGCTTTTGATGATTTCGGATAAGGAAATTGTCTATGTTTAAGTGAGAAATCAAGTTACTATAAATCACACATTCCATAATCTTGCAGCATATGCACATTAAAGAGATTGGCCTGTAATTTTCCGCACAGTTTTTCGATCCTGATTTATGCTGTGGTACCACATTTGCTATCTTCCAATAGGATGGCAGTTTTTGTCTCTTAAGGATTTGTTAGAGAGCGCACACAAATAGTTTGCCAGTTCTCGGGAACAGTTTTTCAATATAAACGGTGAAATATTATCTGGCCCAGTTAACTTTTGTACATCAAGTTCTCATAATAATAAGGCTATTCCGTTATACATAATCTCAATGGGTTACATCACATGTTCCATGGCTGTTCGCACACTTGGATAACAACTTGAGTTGGTAGGTTCAGAAAAAACTGATTCGAAGTATTTGTTTAGGCACATAGCTTTGCCCTTTTGATCTATGATGTCCAATTCTTAGCTAAGTTAATTTTCATCTAACTAGTATATTTATCGACTATGGCCTCGAACGTCCGATGTCTCGGTACATTGGGATGGCAAGTGAACGACACATTTGGCATAAAATTAAACCTATAGGATTTCCAGCTATGCCTAATCGATGGAATTTATAAATATTCTTGTTTTATGCCAATATCTTTTCTTCAGTCACAAATGGTTAACATTGGTTGCCAGGGCATCTCTCTATAACATATGCTCATGCATAATGTTCAGTTAAATTTTGGAAATTTCATTGCAATAAACAGTCGCAAAGTTTCCGTTTTTTTCTAAATACACCAGGCACGCTCATGCACCATCTGCTTTGGTAGCATGATTTCCTCCTAAGCATGTGGCTGCAATATTTTTACTTCTGGAAATAATAATCGCGGCGGGTTTGCCCTGTCGAGTGCACTTTATACCGAGCACCGGTGCACTGCGGAGAAGAAACACCCACAGAAGCAAGCTCCGCAAGTATTGCTTCCCCTCAATGTACTGGTGCTGGGTATGAAGTGCGCTCAACAAGGCTAACTTGCCGCAATCAACACTGAAAAATATAATATCACAGTTAATCTCTAAGTGAATATCGAATAGTGTATTATTCGAAACTATTATTAGAAAATTAGAATATTCACACAATCCTACTAATGACCCCAACAAACCGCTGTAATGTTGCAACGTTTCGTTGAGATATCAATAGGTGAGATTTCGTCTTGTTGAGATATCGATAGGTGAGATATTGATGGAGTTTCCAGGCCAAAGGCATCGAAGGACTATGGTAATTACTGATGATGGATCCCGACAGGTCACTCTGAGAGAATGCCGCACTGAATGGCTTTCAGAAGTTAAAAATAATGAAACTCGTGTTGTTAATTGTAGTACATAATTGGGTGATTAAGTGCAAATTTACTTACAATAATATCTGCATTTCTCATCAGCATCCAGACTCATGAAAGCTCTACATTTCAGATCCACAACGCAGACCAGCTGGCAGACTGGTGCCTGCACCACATCGCCATCAATCACGAATACATCAAGCAGCAACACAAGGCACTGTTGAGGAGCTTGCATCCAGAGAACCAGGCTTATCTGAACCAAAACCAGTGGCCTCCTACCTGGTATGTTTTCCAACTGACATACTTTAGTACCATTGAACATCAATATAATAAAGCCATATTTTGGGCCGGAGTCTTGGTTAAAATGGGAATTCCGTTAGATGGAGGTTTCTATATTTTAGCACTACAATCATTTTCCCAGGTACCAAAAACCCTCCTATTGCTTCACATCTTGTAAATGTATATTTACAAATAAAATTCCACTGCAAACTGCAGCAATGATTTGGGGAATGCAATGTGTATCAACCGTCATTCTTGATCAGTGGTTCTCAGATGGGGTTCCGTGGACCTGTTGGGGTCTGTGAAGCCATTTGTGGGGTCTGCAAAGCCGTCACCATTTTGTGAAAACATAACCACCATTTTATGTTAGCTTCTAAGAGTTAAGGCCCGTTTACACACTTGCAACTTTGTAAGACTGTGTGTGTTGAAAGCTTTTTTAAATCTCTTGCGACGACAGAACAGACTGGCACCACCTATTGGGTAGCCATGGAACATTTGGTGCTCCTGTATATTTCCTATTTTTTAGAGTGCAGCTCTTAAGCGCCCGTTTCCGGCTTGAGCGGCGTCGGCGTCACCGTCGGCGTAACCAAGGTCACCCCAAGGTCACGTGACCCTCAAGGTCACCCCAAGGTCACGCGACCCCTCCCGAGGTTACCCCAAGACCCCCGAGGTCACTTGACCCCTCCCAAGGTCACTTGACCCCTCCCAAGGTCACTTGACCCCCCAAGGTAACTTGACCTCCCAAGGTCACCTGACCCCCAGATCACGGACCCCCCAAGGTCACGTGACCCCCGAGGTTACGTGACCCCTCCAAAGTCAGGTCACCCCAAGGTCCCGTGACCCCTCCCAAGGTCACGTTACCCCAAGGTCACGTGACCCCTTCCAAGGGCACCTCAAGGTCATGTGACCCCAAGGTGGCCCCCACGTGACCCCCAAGGTTACGTGACCCCCCAAGGTCACGTGACCCCCCAAGGTCACGTGGCCCCCTCCTGAAAGTCACGTGACCCCCCCCCTCCAAAGTCACGTGACACCCCCCTCCCCCCCGAGGTCACGTGACCCCTTCCCCCCGAGGTTAGGTGACCCCCTGGAGCATATTAAAGAATGAGGGGAGGAGGAGGAGGAGGAGGGGTCTACCCTCCCCTCAGTACCCTTCCCTCCTCCTCCTCAAGAGCTGCGCTCCAATTTGGCGTTACAGGGAGTCGTAAACGGCTTTCACTTTTTAGAGCGCAGCTCTTAGGCGCCCGTTTCCGGCTTGAGTGGCGTCGCCGTCGGCGTAACCGAGGTCACCCCAAGGTCACGTGACCCCCAAGTCACGTGACCCCCACCGGTCACGTGACCCCCAAGGTCACGTGACCCCCAAGGTCACGTGACCCCCCGAGATCACGTGACCTCCCTCCCCCCCCCCCCCCCCCCCCGAGGTTACGTGACGCCCTCCCCCCGAGGTCAGGTGACCCCCCCCAGAGCATATTAAAGAATGAGAGGAGGAGGAGGAGGAGGAGGAGGAGGAGGAGGAGGAGGAGGGGTCTACCCTCCCCTCAGTACCCTCCCCTCCTCCTCCTCAAGAGCTGCGCTCTAATTCGGCGTTACAGGGAATTGTAAACGGCTTTCACTTTTTTTTTAGTGCATCCTTCTTTCTTTCTTGTCTCGAAAAACTTTTGCCAATATTCTGAACGACCATTTCTCGTGTAGTACATACATTTGACCTCGCAAATACCGCAAAACCTTTGCTCTAAGGAAATGCAGTTCCAGGATCTCCACATAGATAGCATCAGTGTGTTCTCTCATCGTATGAGAGGTTTTAGGGCACTCTGGTCCTAAGGAGTTTTAAGTATGTGAACGGGCCTTAAGCAGTTAAATATATATGTTCCAGTTGAGTTCTTTTTTCTTTTTTTGCTTCTTATTGAGACTAATGATATGTGCATACAATGTGCGAACGCCTCAATGAATTAAAACTGCGGCACAAAATTATTTTTGCTAAATTATGAAATTTACACTGGCTTGATCATGCTGACAGAAACCGGGGAGCACAGAATCTGTAGTGAATGAGCCGGGCACATGTGATGTATGTGTCTGATGTCATGAGGTCATGTGATGTCATGATATCACATGATAGCATGAAATTAGTCACATGACCTTGCAACGTCATGGTGTCGCACGAGGTCATGAGGTTACATGATGTCACATGATCTCATGATGTCATGAGATCATGTGAGGTTGTGACATCATGAGATCATGTGACGTCATGGTATCATGAGACAACACATGATTTTTTTTTTAAATGCCTGGGACGTGACCATCGCCTTGTCCCCCCTCTTCCAATGTCACTTGCTTGTGGGGTGTGCAATCCAACTGAAACCTCACAAAGCTCCCTGCAGCCAACCATAGCACATCCCAACGTACGCATAAAGCACGCACAGCACATTCTGTTCTCCCCGAGTTCATCAAAATGATTGAGACTTGTTTAAATTTTTTGAAGCACCTGTTTTATCTTTACAGTGTCCTGATGTTTTGATTGCTCAATCCCTTCTCAGGTACAACAAAGAGATGCAAGTCTATGAGAGATTTTCCAGGGTGAACCGGTACAAGACCAAAGCAAAGAAACTCAGCTTCTGCCCATTTTCCTTCAGGAGTTCCAAAGCCCCGAAACAACTACCCTGAATGTGGTGCGTAGGTTTCAGAACTATCATTGAGTTAGGGCCCCATGTTTGATGAATGCTGCTACGAGTTTGAAAAAAAATATATTGTGCAAAGATGGAAGAAAATGGCAGGTGTAATATTTTGTACCTGGAGGTACAGTAGAGCCTTGTTTATATGTTTTATCAGCTGTTAGGTTCATGAATGCCGGTCCTGTTGGACACCCATCAGGATGTGTGTATTAAATTCCTGCTTGTTGCATTTTCCTTTTCGGCTGTTACATCCAGACACTGCCGTCCAACACGGCCGACACGCCGCATTGGGTCACCCTCTTCTTTTTCCTCCGCTCCCCTTTTTTTTCACCTGTTTGCCTCTCTGGGCCACACTTCTGCCTGTTCTTGCCCGGGCAGGCGTTACCTTGAACTCGGATATGATAGAGGCTTTCAGAACAGTCCATTTATCTTTCCCTCACTTTCTCCACTGCGTATGTTTCTGCCGTGCTCAGTGGAATCTTTCTCCCAGTTCCACTAGTTTTATTTGGTGTGGAGTTTGAAGCTCATTGTTGAGCACTGCACGTGCATTGGGCTTCACCTTTTCCCACCGGTACACCTGTCGACCTTCACTGCTTTGCACCGGTGTGCTAGGTGCTCGGTACTTTTGTGGACTCTTGTATGTCGAGATTTTTTGGTTGTAATTATATAATTTTATATAGCAGTTTTAGGAAAAAGTAGACCTGTGTTTGAATAAGTATGGTATTCTTAACAAATGTAAAGGTCTACAATATAAATTGCTGCGTCAGAGTTCTTCGTGTCTTGTCTATATGTGCCTGAAAGCAGTTGTTACAATATCCTGGGCCATACATTTTTTTTTTATTGCAGTCCCCTAAGAAGTGTATGAACGAGGTTTTACTTCATAGTAATATTTGATTGGTGAAGAACCCTATAAAAAATATTTATAATATAGTAGTTAGTTGCATTTCTGCTCTTGTTTACCCATATAACAGGCACCTCGGTCAATGCTTCAACTGCAGAATGTATTGTATGTACTCGAAAGTAGGCAGGTCGACCTTTTCGCAAATGGAGTTTGCCAGTACACTTTGCTACATAGCATCCGGAGGTCAATCATTGGAAATCCTGGAAACTCAAGAAATGTTTCTCCGATCAACTTCCATTAATTGCCCCTCGTGCCTGCTGTACAAAACAAATACTGGCAAACTTTGTTGATGAGGTCGGCATATTTTCAAATAAATGTACACTGGCTTAAATCAAGCACTGCAGCTTTGCTGCAGTGCTTGGTTCAAAGACTCCCAACTTTCTGTTCGTCACCTTATAATGCCATGCCCTCTCACATTAAGTCCAGTTTTTGTTTGGTAGCTCGGAAATACCAGTGATCAAAGCATCGAGTTTCTGCGGAAATTGCTAGCATTCCAGCCAACGCTCCTACACTCTGTTTCACCTTATGTTGTACCGCAGCGAAGGCTAGAAGCGCGAGCTCATAGCATTGGCAGCTGCTCTTAATGCATGAGAGCTTGTGCCGCCAAGATCTGCCCCAGAGCAAGGAGCTCGCGCTTGTAGCCTTTTGTGCGGTACATCATCAGGTGAAATAGAGTATAGTATGTGGCTTTCATCAGTTTACAGCTGAACAAAGGTTTCTTGCTTCGGTTGTATAGTCACTGATAGAATGAGAACGGCAGGGCATGTCTTTGAAACGCCTGGCCTCCAGCTTTTGCGGTTCATGCGTTTCGCTCAAGGTGCATAAGACATTGAAACGTTGTTGAAGGTGGGAAGCTTGTGCTGGAGGCGGGACAGCTGGAACTCCCTGCTGTTCTCACCTTGTCAGCGACTATAGTACCGTATTTACTTGCACAATGAACGCACTCGCGTAATGAACGCACCCCCCAAGTCGGCTCTCAAAATTTCGACTTTTTTTTTCACTCGCGTATAAACGCACCCCCAACTACCCCCAACTCGGAAGTCAAAATTTTGACCCCCTCCCCCCACGCGCGCGAAATGAGACACTTTTTTATCCTGGTGCAGCGAGGTCGCGAATGCATGGGCAGCGTGGGCGAACAAAACGCCTTGCAAAAGGCATTAAAAAAATTCGCAAAGATCCAACGGAACCAAGGAAAAAAAAACATGGAGAAGACCTTTTTTTTTGTTTTGCACAGCGCAGTCTGGACTTTGGGTTCGCGCGCCGCCACGCGCATGGAGGTACGAAAGAGAAGCGGAGAAGCGCTCTAAGCGAACAAAACAGCTTGCGAAAGGCGGCCAAAAAAAAAAAAACAAAAAAAAAAACGCACGGAACTAAGAGAAAACAAAAACAAAGACATTTTTTTTTTTTTTTTTTTTTTTTTTTTGCACAGCGCAGTTTGGTTACGGGGGTCGCGCGCGCCGCGCGCAAGGAGGTAAGAAAGAGGAGCGGAGAAGCCCTCTAAGCAAACGAAACAGCTTGCGATAGGCGGCAAAAAGAAAAAAAAAGAAAAAACCCACGGAACTGAGAAAAAAACAAGAAAAAGAGGAGCTTTTTTTCTCTTTTTTTTTTTTTTTTGCACAGTGCAGTTTGGTTACGGGGGATCGTGCGTCGCGCGCCGCGCGCAAGGAGATAAGAAAGGTAAGCGGAGAGCCCTGGCCTAAGCAAACAAAAGAGCTTGCGAAAGGCGGCAACAAAACAAAACAAGGAGCTAAGAGAAAAAGAAAACAAAGAGGAGTTTTTTGTTGTTGTTTTTTTGCACAGCTTAGGTTACCGGGTCCGGCGCCACGCGCAAAGAGATAAGAAGTTACTTCGATTTTTCAAGATAAAAGGTCCGTTCATTATGCGAGTAAATACCCACGCAAAAATTTTACTTCGCGTAATGAACGCCCCCCCCAACTTTGCATCGATTTTTCGGAAAAAAAAGTGCGTTCATTCTGCGAGTAAATATGGTATGTGCTGGTGCCAACAATATGGGTACCGGTTACTGGCTGTCGTTTGACTGAATGCCCTCTTGGGCGGTACAGGTTCGATGCTTGGAGCTGCCATCTCGGCGACCGCTCGGCACAGCGATGCCACCGAGCAGAAAGGGAGCGGTTGATCCACCCCCACAGAAGAGGCAACCTGGCTTCCTTCCTCACCGCCGCATCTAATGAACCGTCGAGCCTTGCGCGGCGACTGTAACAAAAATGCCCGGCCTCTGCAGGGGCAGCGTTGAAATGTGTCCCAGTGCCCGTCGCGCACGCCTGATTCATGTTTCCCCAGGTATGCACTAGTCGAGGTGGTGGGAGCCGATACGCTCGCACTTTGGGGTTTGTACCGCGCCGTTGCATGTTTGCTTTTTTTTTTTTCTTTTACCGCGACACTTAACATTGTCGAATGGGTGCCTTTTTTTAAGGGAGCGGCGCAGGTTTCGTCGCTCTTCGAGGTTGTGTAATTTGTGTGACACGGGGTAGGGGGCGAGTCCCGCCTCTCCAGCGTACTCCAACTCGAGCGGGAAGGGGCGCAGAGTCGCGTCTTCTCTTAGAATGGCTGGCCATGATTGATGCGAAAGATCGTCATATCCGTGCCTTGGTTCTTGCTCGCATTGGCGCGAGCGAGGGCACCACCTCAGCACTTCGAAAGTCAGTCACTCAGACCCCACCGCCGTGCTTTTGTGCCTGTGTATATCGAGTATTTGTGATCGAATGGTTTTGTCTCTTTTTTTTAATTTTATTTGCTACACATAACTGCGCAGTGATGGTTGGTACCTCAGCATGCTGCAAACTAATGTATGCGAGCTTATTTAATTGAGCACAGTGATGTGGAAATTCCAATGTTGGGTGCACGAGCGAGAATGATCACGAGACTTCCCCGCCTTTGAGAGTTCGCCGTCTGTTCCAGGTTGACCGAGTGTTTGATTCCTTAGAAGGTCGTTTATTTGCCAAGCTCACATCTGTCTCCATGTTGCTGTGACCAATGAGCCTGAATCCCCGGTATTGATAAGAAACTGTACCGTGTGTTCAAAATTAAGTTTCACAAATTTAAAGCAAAAAAAACTCCGACGTACACGACATGTGCTTTTGCACCTTGTGGTGGTGACACTATCACAAGGTGCAGTTTTATTTTAGTTTGTGGAACTTGGTTTTGAATACCTGGTATAATAATTAAAGAACAGCAGCCTTTGTTTTGCCTTATTATTTTATGGAGTCTTCAAACTTGCTGCTGATTTGCTTCTGTCTCTTGTTTAGAGATTTTTTCAGGGCTTTCTTTGGTTGGAAATGTAGCAAGGCTTTCTTTGCCTCTTTTGTGTCTGAGACGTAAATGAATTTGCTTATTTTCCAATTGAGATCATGCCATAAATTGGTCTAGTTTGGTGGGTGTTTTATTGTGGCACACACTTGCAGAAAATCTTTGCGAGTTTCAAACATCTAGCATACTCCTCAGTTACCTAAAAGTATGATCAAACTGATTTCCTCTTGAAGAATAACCAACAGCAATAGTGCTGCAGAGGAGAATGAACATGCTGTTTTCAACTTATATTTCGGAGGAACTTCATAAGTAGTAGTAGCCGCACTGATGAAGAAAACCTGAGGGTTCGCTTTTCCGCGGAGCACGCGGATTGCCAATCGCCGCGATCGGCAGCATGATTTCAGCAGTTTACAGGGCAGAGATAACGTCTTCACGCAAAGACACCATCTGTGAAGATTGCATTTGTATGGAGACTCATGTTCTTGATCTAGTTATTTGCTATGTTATTTATGGGCAATGCCATGATTGGTTGTATATGTGCTTTGCGGGAAAGTAGACTCAAGGGCCTTGTTCATAAATGGTGTGGCTATTATTTGAGTAAATACGGTAAATTTAGCAGGGTCTCTAAACCAGTTTGATGATCCCGTTGTCACCTAATGGCAAAATTTTGATTTCGCAAGCTATTCCCAATACTAATGGCATTTCAGAAAATTTGTGAAATATTGAGCCCACAAATGTGCCAAACTCTGACCCAAATTCTGGCCTAAACGAGTTCTTAAGAGAATAGATTGGCTGGTTGATTTATAATGCGAGTAGCGAGTAAGGTAGTAGTGTCGCTACCACAATGACAGTATAGGTGAATGACAGGTACAGATTTTAAGTGTTTTCAGGATACACTGCATGTTCTACGCCTGTGTTGCATTGCTCCTACACGCGACTTTATCTGAAGCACCACCATACACATGCTGCTCATTCCCTTTAATATACTGGCCGCATTGCACCATTTGGGATAAAATTCCGATAACTGCCAATAGATTTGTATGTGCACCTAGGTTGGTAAGAACAGTGTTTGCCAGATGAGATGAAAAGACTCTAGTACTCCCGTCCCACGGCTCATCGAAACATGGGCCGCATGCCTTTAATGAGCTGGTGCACATTTTTGTGCAATGTGCGGGGGATTTTTACCACTCCGACAGCGATTGTTCCAGAACCACGAATGATCTGAAGTTGGGCGTCTTCGAGACAGGCGTGTGGTGTGGCTTTTGTAGCTGCTTGCCATTTGCCTTGGCTTGTGTGCAAAGTGGCCGTTTGTTCAGACTTGCAACTGCACATTTAGGTAAAGAATTGCAGCACATGGTAACCAGGAGTGTGCAGGTGGTGATCCTGGAGTTGAATTCAATCAGGATTGTGTACTGGAACTGGAATACAAACCAAATGGAGTTTATGCTAGTGATGTGGTGTGCACAGCTGTTACTGAAAAGCTTGGGCGTTTCTTGCAGCGAGAGCTGCACAAGTCGGTTATTGCAGCCCAATGCGTTTACCTTCCACTGAACATATATATATATATATATATATATATATATATATATATATATATATATATATATATATATATATATATATATATATATATTTTTTTTTTATTCTAGAATCCATTTGTATAGAGGGTAAAAAAAAACAAAAAAAAAAACATGTGAAATTTTTTTTTATTATTATTTTTGAGCATTTGTTTTGTTGCTAACCAGCCAGCTTACGAAGCACACATGGCAATTTGAATGAAGTAGGATCAAGCCTTCCCCCCCCCCCCCCCCCCCCCCCCCCCCCCCCGAGATAATTACTGTTCAGTCGGCGGTGGAAGTGTCTGCTTTGCAGTAGAAAAAGAAGTCAAAACTGATATTTATAATCCTGGTGTCATTGTGATGAGTGTTTAACATGCAAGTGCTAATTTCCACTTTTCTCTGCATCTATGATGGACCATCAACATGTTATGTATTGCAATCATAAATGTCTAGCTGAACTCAAGATTTTGTTAGCTACACTTCCTAGTACAAAGCAGGGTCTGCCGTTTTTTTTTTTTTGTTTTGACAAAACTGGGATGACTCACAAACCATTTTACAGTTTGTAGTATTTACCTTGTAGCACTTTTTCTGTGGGCATCGGTTTTGTTATGTGCCGACCCCGATGAAGCTCCTAATTAAATCACTGTCCACGATGCATGCACCTCAATGCGTTCAATTGCAAGTTCAAATCCTTCTGGGTTGCCAGTGAACTATAAAAGTGTGGAGTTTGTCATATATTTGGCAGAACAATCAAAGAAAAAATAAATTAGAAGAGGGCAGCATGGTCTGTGTTCAACTATGTGCTGAACCACCAGTGCAAGGAAGCATTACTATAGCAGGGTCAGCTTTTTAAGTGGAGGCACGCAGAAGCCCACTAGGTCAAAAATAATGGACTGAAGGACACACTGAAGATCACCTGTACAAAAATGACTGAATTTTTCTTGGCAGGCATTATTAAACTGGTAGAGTGCAGTACCCGTTTGTGCATGTTCAAAGGCACCCTAGATAATAAACTGGTTGTCAAATGTCTTGTGTTCGTGTGGCACAGTGTCGGTGCTCTCGGCATTCCCCTGGCAATATTGCTTTGCTCAAGGGATTTTAAGCCACCAATTGTTCCGCCGCAATGGCTCAAAGTGCAGGTCATGAATGGCGTAAAGGAGGAACAATAGTTGCTGAAGGGTACATACTGAGCGCTGGAACTTGGTCGTGTACTTTGTTAAGCCGAATGCAAGTGCATAGCTGAAAATCAAATGGAGGTATGTTCAGACAATACAGGGACAAGCACTCGATGCCCAGAGCCAACCAATAGCCAACAAGCAAAAGGGGCTAGTGGTTGCAGATCTGCCTCGCAAACAGCTGTCTTGCTCCTTCGCCCCACGAACCAGACCATAGAAAGAGAATAGATTTATCTGTCTTGTAGGGACAAGTGGTTCGTCACTTTTTGTGTTTGCCTTTACGTCACTCCTGCAATGAAATGACTGCTGCAGTTGCACGTGCTCATAGTGGCTCCAATGAGAAAGGTATATGTCTCGTTTGACTTGGAAATGTCATCTGAATGTTGTGCTGGCTTCACTGGAATAAATTGTGTACTACATAAATTTTGTCCCGATTTATGAGCAAGGACTATACTCTTAAGCCGAGACTATGGTGGGAGCCACATGCCCACCGTACCAATTGTCCACCTCCCTCTTGTCACCTGACCCAGCTCTCCACACATGGGTATGGGCGGGAGCGTGATGACGTGGCGAAAGTGAGGCATGGTCCAAGGAGGACATAGCTTCCACTGCAGTCTTGGCTTAGGGGTCAACGGAGTACAGCTGTGTGCTCCAGCGTTTGCAGGGTGCGCCACGGAGACATTCCCGTAAAGCTCTCATGGGGGTGGGTTCCTTTTGTACAATGTGCAGGACGGTTGGCTGCGAATTATTCCGAGGATGTTTGTAGATTCTAGTAATGACAAGTTGGCTCGCGTAGCGGGGAAGCACATTTTGGCTAAAATTAATTTGGTCCAGTTCCTGGAATGTCCGGAGAAAAAAGGTAAGATTGCGGAAATTTACAGTACATTTTCAGGCTGTAACAACCATGTCAGTTGATGCCAGTAACGAGATGAAGGATGTTTTCCCATCAGTCTGGCCATACAGAATTGTCTCGAACCCGAGAAGCATGTCCCTTCAAATTTAAAGCTGATCCACATTTGTCAACACATTCTTCCTCAGATACTTTGTGAGGTAAGATTATGAGCTCCACAACATGAGCATGCAAATTAATACAATTTGTTGCTGCAGCTGCAAACTTTGTGGTTCTTTGAAAGTTCTACACCATGTGTAACCGGGAAAAACTACCTCCATTTACGGACAAACTTTATTGTTTTTGTAAATTTGGACGCTAAAGTGCTTGCGAGGACAACAATGACCATGAGCGACGGATCTGTTGGAGAAGATTTCGGATCCCTAGGCAGCTACTGACTAAATGCTACCAGGTCTTCTTGACATGCGGGAAGTTGTGTCGCTCATGGTAAGGCTCGTAGGGGTCGTCAACGTAGTACTTGGGTTTCTTCCAGTAGGCTGTGACCATCTTGTCCAGCATCTTGCACTGAGTTTTGTTGCAGAACACATGCCTACGCAGGTACTGCAGCTGTTCTTCCGATTTCTTCCAAAGTTTCTTGGCTCTGCCCGACCTTGGCCGTATCCAGAGACCGCAGTTGAGGCGGAAGAACCTACGAATGACTGCCTTACAGGTCTTCCTTGTGCCTCGCCTGAGTGAAAACTTCGTGATGCAACGGACTTGCTGGCTCAGGGTCGGTACCGCAGGTTCAAGGCGCAGGAGGCTGGACTGGCCGGACTCCCTGCATGTCGTCAAGCAGTGGTTATGCAGGGTGGTGCATTCGGAAATGAGTTTCGACAAATTGCAAGTCACTCTGACTGCGGGGAAAGCTGTGAAGGTGTAGTGGTTGCTACAGTGCAACCCACTTACAACGATACCACATATAACGATGAACCGCTTATAACAATTGGTTTCTAGACTGGAAATTATCGGTTTCTAGTCCAGATACAACAATAATCGGTTATAGCAATTGAAATTTCGGGTTTTCTCATCGTTATAAGTGGGTCGCACTGTGCTACAAATCTAAGTTTGTGAGATCGGCATATGGGCACGAACCCCGAGAAACAAAAACAATTTCGGGTTTATGAAGCGTTAACGAAAACCACCTTGGACATAGTAACACGGCAGTGCAAGGGTGGTGCTAGGGCTTGTTCATCGTGATATGGAGTGACTTGATTCTGAGTATTCTCAATGAAATGAACATAGTAATGAAACTGCTTCGAAGGTTACCGTTCAGTGGTACAGTGTTTTTCCAAACTTTCTACACTTTTTTCCCCCCATTTACAACGAATTAATGAGGCCTTTGGAAATGCGCGTCGTATGCATAGATTTCATGTGACGTCATTCGCGGCCATGCCAGCACTTTATGCTCCTTGAGCGTTCGGTTCGCCGTGTTAGTTTCACACCGCAGGAGTTGTAGTTCGAAGAAACCAGCAAGTAGAAATAACCGTCAGTACCCAGCAATGGCGACACTTGCAAGCTATGTATAGTCGTGCGAGTGGTCTCTAAGAGCGTCGAAAATGAGTTACTGTACTACTTAGCGCTGATACAAAGGAACATGCTTCACGGAAAACTTTCAAGCAGCAGTGTTGGAGGCACGGGTGCAAGCGCGTGGCTTTAAAAATGGTCTCTTAGCGCGAGTGGTCGGGCAAGCCAATCTTTTCGAATTTACGCCTGTCTGGTGACGCTTCAAAATTTTTGAGTATCCTTTATTTATTCTTCATTTAACCCTGGGGGGTCAAGTAACCACAGATAATCCCGGACAAAAACTGAGGCCTACTTGGTGCCATGACACTTACCGGCCTACAGGCAAATTGTGAAGCGAAAGCGTAGACCTGATGCTCGAGAACTGCGCTCTAGAGTGGCAAATGCAGCTGGAAACTGGTGTTGTTAGCCCACGATACACCAAAGGGAGGAACCGCGACGAGACCGGGCTGCTTGCATTGCTTGTTGTGGACAGCGCACGAGATGTGGCCACTCTCGTAACGTTGCCTGAAAAGGATATTTTGTTGTCAGCACTGCCCGAACTCTGTAATTCATTCTTGTACTCGCAAATGCAGCTAAGATCGAGCCATGCAGAAAAAGACTTACCCAGCAGCCTGGAAAAAGCACGAAGAGCCGCCATGCTTCGTAAGTTTTAACGATGTGTTGATTAGGCCGCCACTTCCTACGACATAAAACTGTAACAAAACATTAAACTATTTTTTAAACAATTTTGTTTTAGTTCGCTTGCTCTAATTAAACATTTTACGAATAAATCTTTGTATATAAAGGTATAGTTATGTTGTACTTTTAGCTACAACCTCCATTCGTTCATACGCGACTGCTGTGTGCGGACTCAGCCTCTACCCTTCCTGGCGACCCGGGACCGGTACCAAAATGTGGCGATCAACGCGGAAAGTGTACTCGCGCTATTCCCTGTTGGTAAGAAACTGATTTATGTAATATTGACATGAATCGTTTACGATGCCTTTCTGTTGGGTCTGGAGCTTGGTTCGGTGCCCTGTTCCGCTAGTCTCGACGCATGACAGCCGGAATACCACCGGTAACCCTAATGCTCGGCATCACAAGCAGTCAAGGTTACCTGGGTGTGAAGGGCAGTCTTCGTGAGGTCTACTAGAAAAACAAGTGCAACAGAGGAGGTTTCTAGGTTGTCAATAAGGCACACAACGTCTAGTGCCACGGAGATAGTTATAGCTCCCCCAGAAAGGCCAGTAAGCTAATTTGCAGAATCGGGTAGGGTAGTTGAGCTAGCAAAATTGTATCGGGTATTTTTTTTAATATATTTTCACAGGGACCGCGAACCCGCATCAAAACATTCGTGCTGTGCGCGGCTCTCAGCTTTGAAAAAGTGCGCGTTCAGCTTTCCAAAGATACGGAACGTCCAATTTATTGGTGAGGTTCTCTGAGAGAGTCTCGGGATGTCACATCGCGTTCACACGAAGGCAGACATGTACACGTTGCCCCCAAAAAGTAACTAAATACCGTTACTCGTTACTCGCTCACAAAGTAACTACATACGTCACCCGTTACTGATTCTCAAAAGGAACGCGTAAGTTACCTCAAAAGTAACGAGTTACTTTTCACGTTACTTTGACGACCAAATACACAACTGTCTGTTTCATGGTTTATTGTTTTCTTTTTAGTAGTCGTTTCACTTAAGCAGTAGCTACCTGTCCAAGTTTGTATCGGTCATGTTTCCCCGCTTCTTTGAGAATACATCCCCGGCGACGCTGAAGAGTCGTTCTACCGACACGCTCGAAGGAACGGCAGTGTTGTGCTTCAGCAAGAGCTGGTGGATCTGGGATTCCCCTCTCTCTTGTGTTCTCCCTACTTCTAAAGTTCAAAGTTGACAGTGGATTATGTGCCTTCCCGCGTTGACAACCTCCGGGTTTACATGCGGTCCGTACTCGGTTCGAAAAAGTTCAACCAACGAACCCTATTGTGTTCGATGGATGAAGGACATTCCCAGCTGTAGAGTTACAGCAACGTTTGTCGCTGGACACGTCAGTCGAGCTGTTCGACTGACTTGTTCAGCGATAACCGTTGCTGTACTTTCATACCGTTTAGTCGTTTTTCGGATTGCCTATCTGCCTTTGTCGCAATAGAAGCATACTCTGGTTACAATTACAACGAGGCTGTTTAAACATTGTACACGTTACTCCTCAAAAGTAACGAGATACCGTTACTCGTTACTGGGCCTTAAAAGTAACTAAATACGTTACTCGTTACCGAAAATAGTAACTAGGTAGAAGTAACTCGTTACTTGTAACGCGTTACGTACATGTCTGCACGAAGGCATACACAATGGATACATACTTGATTAAATATATTGTGTAGAAGCAAGGGGCAGCTCAATGGAAATGAACACTTGTATTCTCGTTTGGCCTGTTTTGTTATTTTGTGAGATCCTCCGCTTTATTCTACGAGCTTGGTGCAGTGGTGTTCAAACATGTTTACCTTCCTTAATGCTTTATACATACTTTTTTTTTTATCGGGGTGAGCTCTCGCTTTGGGCCATCATTGGAGATGTTTCTGTGGTGCCTGCAGAATCGTGTTACTTTCCTGCTACTTCAAATATGGTAAATTGGCATAATGTGAAACTTCCGTAACCCATCATACTGCATGATTCAGCGTGAGGGAGCACATATTCCACCTCGTCTTCATTGTTTTGGGGGGGGGGGGGGGGGGGGGGGGGGAAGGGGATGCCTTTGTCATTGTGTTCTGTCTAATACAATCCAACATAACTCGAGCTCCAAACTGAATTAGAGTATTTCGTCATAGCTTTATTCTTGGTTAGGCACTCGGTAATGCTCAGTATGCAACTTTTGATTGGATATAACGCCTACCTTGAGTTGCTACTCTTTTACGACGGTTGAAGGTATGCTGGCAGAAATGAGTGCTACGCGCAGTTTTTGCATTTGCCAGAATATGTGGGGTAAGCATATTTTTGCATTTAGCACTTGGACAGATTGGTGGAGCTCCGGCCCGCTCCCCCACTCAACAGGCCCTATGCAGCACGCTTGCCCTTTGACCCTGTTCTCCAATATGAAACGCAACTTGCGAATTTGTTCTAGAAGATGGGAAAGGCTACAGAATTGTTACAAAATTCATCTGTAAATGACACCAGCTGCACTTGGATATGGCTTCTTTCCCCCCCCGAGTCATTTTTTTTGTGTTATCAGACTGGTATATGTCATGTCCCATTTTTTATCATTTGGCAGTGGTTAATTATGCTGGTTCAAAGTTCGTCTAGACTTCTTGTCACCAGTGGTTAGAGATTGAGGCTGGTTCACACCCTCGTGTTTGCTTAAGGCCCGTTCACACTCTTGCAATTGAGTACGAACGAGAGAGACAAGACCGGTTTTTAAGGCTCTTGCAACGTCTTAGGACTGGATGCACTGCTGCGGAGCTGGTTCTAAGACGTCGTAAGAGACTTAAAAACCAGTCTAGTCTCTCTCGGTCGTACTCGGTTGCAAGAGTGTGAAACGGGCCTTTTGGACCGAGTGCCTTGAGACCTCTTGGGATCTCTTACGAGAAGAGAGCAGACTGGTGCCCTCTATTGGGTAGTTGTGGAACATTTGGCATTTCACTATATTTCCTATTTTTTCCGTTTGTCATTCTTTCACTATTGGTTTGAAAAACTGTTGTCAATGTAATAAACGACCATTTCTCGTGAATAGTATGTATATTTGATCTCGGAAATACTGAAAAACCTTCGTTCTAGTAAAGTGCAGTTCCAGGGTCACCCCGTAGATGACGCCAGCCTGCCGGTGTGTTCTTTCGTCGTTAAAGGGGGGGTGCAACGATTTCCGGACTTTGGTCAAAAATTTGTGGAAGTTGCCCTCTGACACCTCTGAAGTAAAGAGCAGAAAACTGATTTTGCTTGCGTGTCCTAGTTGTTGTGTAAAAAAAAAAAAGAAATAATGGCATTTCTTGCACCCTTCAACTTGCTCGAGTTTTCGGGGTCACACTTGGTCGCGCAGCTAGTGACGTAATTCGGGGTGCCGTTTAGGTTCCCGTGTGCTTTCTCGGAGGAAGCTTCCTCTCCCTCTCTTTGCTGACATTAGTGGGCTTTATGCTGCTGCTTAGAGCCGAGTGAGGTCCTGTAAGCTTCTCGCCGTAGTTCCTTCGGCTGCCACTCGCTGCTGCAGGTGGGGGGAAAAGCTTGACTTTTGCTTTGCGATTATGCAGGGGAATCGCGGCATTTTTTAATCGAGGAGATATTTTTTCTATTCTCTGGGACACGATAAACAACGTAAAAATGACGAGATACAAATTCTTTTAATCTTAAAATCGTTGCACCCCCCCCCCCTTTAAAGATAGCGAGAACTCGGTCGTAAGCAAACGCAACTTTCCAAACGGGCCTCTAGATGAAGTCAATGTGAAACAGCATTTCTGCAGATTCGAGTATTGCTCCTTCCTCATTCTGGAGCTTGTGCTTTAATCCAATTGGGTCAAGTTGATACTCTTTGAATTTTACGCTTTTTGTCTGTAAAATAGTTAAAGGGACCCACAGTCAATTTAGCCCTTCTTATACCTTTGGCCGCTAATGTTTATAAAACTGCATACAGCCAAAAAAAAAATAGCCTCTTTTTTTTTAGAGCAGTTACTGTTGCAGGTGTGTAGTGTAGCCAATGATGCCATTGGACAATAGCTAAGACAAAAAGCAGGTGACAGAAACACAACTAACATGTGAGCCCCAATGTCTATTCTTTGTCAATGTCCCTCTTAGTTTTCCTAAATGCGCAAAGCAACTTTGAAAGACCCGCCAAGTAGCTAAGTCGCTGATAATTGGTCGGTCACTGTGCTCTCACCATTAGCTGCTCAAATACGCAGCAAAATTGTAGTGCGTTTTTTTTTTTTTTTTCTCCCTCTTTTGGGGAGAACAGTATTACTCCCCATATGATGTGAATTTTGGGGTAATCAAAAATAATTGCAGAGTCCCTTAAAATTCCATTGTTTGCTGCAAGCTTTGTTCATCACAGTGGTGCACCTCTAATATGAGTTGTAATGTGCTTGATGCAGTTTTGTCAGGTGGTACTCGATGAGACATGGTTGAGTTAACCGTTGCACAATTGCTGTTTACTTGAATCTTTCAGTTGTCGGGGAACAAGCAGAAAAGCCCCTCCACGGTTCAGAGCCGTCGCCAGTCAACGAGTTCGTCTGGAGGGTTTGTCTTCCGATTTTTCTTGCAGAGTTGTCTTCTAAGAGTGTGCACCTTTGTCTTAGATAAAGCATTTGTGTATATCCCCTAACAACGTGAGGCAAGCGTATAGCCACCAACGATAAAAAAAAAAGCTAGAATTAGCCAATACCTTGCTTGGTGGTTCCACCTGCCTGTGACTGCATGTTGCAGAAGTGCAATCATGCAGAAGTGCATGATTGCACTTCTGCAATCATGCAAAGATGTCCAAAGACCCCGTGGGGGTCTTCAAGGAAATAAAGTGATTGTGATTAATTGTGATTGGACATGTCGCCTAGCTGCTTTGATGTGATTGACAAAGCAAAGTTTGTGTACTCTAGCTCTTTTCATAAACAACTCTAGAGGAGGGGTTACGAAAAAGGTGCGTGCTAGTCTTATGCTGCACATGCATTGCAGCTCGGGCAAGGCAGTTGCTGTGACAGCAGGCGTAGCGGTTGTTGGTGTGGGCGCAACGCTCGCCTATGCCAAGTTTGACCCAGACTTCCGGCAAAAGGCCCAGAGCAGTGTGCCGTATGGAGAGGCCTTCTTCAATAGCATCCTTGGACCTGCCGAACCATCTGCGTAAGTTTCTTCTTGCACTGGTGCCTTCCTCTTTAGTGACTGTTGATACAGTTTTGTTCCAAGACGTAATTTGTCATGAGAAAAATGACCTGCTTTTGAATTCATTTTTCAGTTTATAAAAAATTAGGTCACAAAAGGGCCCCTTTTTACTTGGTAGCTGTGGAAAATTTTTTGTAGTCTCACTTGCAACATGTATCTGGAAGTTGTGACAGTTCCACATCTTTCACCGACTTATCAATCAAGTTCAAGAATGAATCCTTGGGGCAACCACTTGCTGTTTCGTTTTTAATCTTTTGTTTTTTTTTTCCTTCCATTTGACCAAACTGGGCTTGTTTTTTTTTGCTGTTAATGTGTGTTTCTATGTCAGCTACACCATATTTACTCTTCAAAACACTGCGTGTATGTTTGCCATTATCTGAGCAGCCCCTTTTTTGGAGGGCATAACTACTTCATTTTTCTTGATAGGCTGTTTCTTCCATAATCCAGGACATCTTCAAAACAGCAGGGGCGCACAGCACAACTACCACCCGTGGACAAAATCAAGGAGAAGGCTCTTGAATCGAGTCTGCTTCGCAAGAAGCCACCAATAGAATCTTCGCAGGTAGGTTTAATTATTATTTTGCCCTGTTGTGTCGCTTTGGAGACTTAATTGGGTTTCTGATGTCTCCCTGATTTCCTTTTGATTGACTCTGCAGCAGGACACCAAGTCTGTTCTTCCACCACCTCCTCCGATAACCGCTCCACCATCTTCTCCTAAAGGTGATGGCCCCATGTTTTGTTTGTTTAACGTTGTGTTTAACGTTGAAAGAATCAAGGTTGCAGCTAATGTTTCGATAATGCTGTGGAAGCATAGTGGTGTTTGGTGACGGCAGCCTTGTTAAAAAAAATCAGTACTATCGAGACGCACAGGTATTTATTTGTGTACCCTCAAAGCTTCTAGACATGTATCTAGCTGCAGAGTATGAACTAACAAAATCAAGCACAAAAAGGGTGCATGTCACGGACGAAACATAGAGCAGTTCCTAGATGCAGAGTAGGGAAGGAAACCTCAGTGACATGTATCATCATTATGTACAACTTGGAAGATCATACTGCTTACTCATTGATTGCCTTTCGGATTATGATGTAGGACTGAAGATGAGAGAAGCCATAGTGAATGTTGTCCAGTTTAAAGGGAAGATGGGGCACTTCTACATTTGACAAAAAACGCTTGAATTGCGTTCATTTGGCCTTCAGAATAACAGATATTAAAATTGTATTTCAATGCGACGCGCCGGAGAGCCATACGAGCAATTTCAAAATAGGACTGAAGCCCCGCCTCCCTAGCCTTGGGCAGCCAAAAGAGCCGTCGATGACGTCACGGACAGCGACTGTCTTTCGCGTTTTTCTCGCGTTTAACAATACTTACGCAGCAAATGGTTTGGGTATTCGGATTCACGGGTTAAAAATACACTAGAATTCACTTCTAACTCATTTTTTCCAAGAAGCTCCGTAGCTTCCCTTTAAGGCCGACCTACAGAATCATCATCTGCCAGGCAGAAAACCTTTCAGTCTATTTTTCCCCTCTCCTGAAAGGAGTGGGTCTCTGAGCTACTCCCTGCAGAAAGGAGGCTGGTTTCAATCTTTTTCTAATGGAAAGGAGAAATCAAGGGGCGGTTTCCTTCTTTCTGGCAGCTCCTTGCCTTTGAATAAACTTGCCTATGCTACTAATATTAGGGAAATTAGGGTTGCAGTACACTTCATTGCATTAGACTCGTTTCAGTAATCTAGAGGCTATTTTCAGAACTGACGCTTCGATTTTCTTTTGTGAAAATTCCCTACTGAAAAATGTTTTCTAATGTTCATTGTTCCAGAATTTTTGCTCCAATTCAGTTCTCACTTGTAAAGCCCAAACCACATGGGGTGTTTTGTCATCGCGCGTTGGCGTCGGTGCGCGTCGCTTGAGGTCACTCACAACAAAGCAACGCACGGGCCGGCGCCGAGATCTGACCGGAACAGATATATGCACGAAGAGACGTATGCCGACTCGAGGTGATGCTGATTCGGGCGAAGTGTGTGAAAATTGTCCCATGTGGTTGGGCCTTAAGGAGACATTATTTCCGCTTTTTGTTTTTCTGACTCTCTGGGCACCAACCCTAGTCCACATATTGTCTTTCACGGTGCTTGCAGAGAAGACGCCCAGTCCTCGAGACCTGGAACTCGAGGCCCAGAAGCAACTGCGCGATATTCGAGAGAAGACTGAACGACAAAATTTTGGTGAGTGATGGGGGTGTTTTGTGGCACGAGGCCCCTACGGCATGACACCCGAGTGCGTCTGTTGGATGCAGCCTTGGAGCAGTCCCTTCGAGAAGCTCAGGCAGAGGCCGAGAAGTACACGCAGGATGCCGTCGTGTCCCAGCTTGCGGCGAAGGAGGCGATGCAGCTGTACGTGCAGAAGCTGTACAGGGCCCTCGACGATGCTCGGGTTCGTACCTTTGGGCTGTCCACTGTAACATTCGGAGCTATTAGGCCTCCGTGTAAAGCGTGAAATAAGTGTGAGCAAAAATCGTGTTGCACCCTGGAGCGGCGTAACTATAGTAACAATCGCTGGCACTGTGATGTGGCTGGATGCCTTGTTGCCACCGTTGCAGTGTCGGCGACGGTCACTATGCTCGCATCAGTGGGCAGCGTGACGCAACACAGTTTTTGGCCACATGTGTTTCACGCCTCGGTGTTCTTCACGTGACATGTACAAGTTCCGAGAACAATCGAGGTGCAAGATAGGGCTATGTCGCAGTTGGTACAGTCCGCTCTCTGCTCTGTTTTACATCGTTAAGAATATCCAGCTTAGGCTCCTTGCAAAGGTGTTATTCTTGCACCTGTTGCCTTCATTGTACACTAGGTTTTAGGTGAGGTGGTGAAGCAAAGCATGGAACACACAAACTTAACATGATTTTGTCTACAGACCATTAATGAGAATGGGTTGCTGTCAGGGACTCCGTACTGCCTGCAAATTTTATGATTTCATTTGTTAGGTGTCGTACAAAAAGGGAGACTATAAAGTCCGTGACGGATTTACTTAACCTCTGGGGGAGCACTAGATGAAATTGGGCCGTGTTCTTGCAGGATAGCGAAGACCAGTTCATGTGGGACGAGGCGCTGAAAGCCAAGGAGAGCAAACTGGCTGCTGTGGAAAAGGCTAACATCAAGGCAGCACAAGCCTGGTGAGGTTTCCTCATTGGGAGGTTGTGTCTGGCTGGTGGCAATGCCTTGACACGGTGTTCACTTTTGGATTACAGGAAGGCCGTGGAGAACCTGCAGTCAGTCATCAGGAAGGGACAAGAGAACAAGGAGACGCAAGCAAACCTGTCATTGGGTCCCGCCGAGCACGTTGCCAATATTGCCAGGGACCAACTTCGAAATGCCGAATCTGAGGTGAAGCCACCGTTGCTCTTCTCTGTCACTTTGGCGCGTTGCTCGATGCCAGCTGACCAATATTAATATTGACATACCTCATAGAAACTATGTTAGGGAAGTTCACTCCTGTCATGTTTACAGTCACAGTCTGCCAAGGAGGCGACAAAAATTGCCACCGACTACAAGGACATGATAGAGAAAGCCCGAAAACACTTCCAGGAGGAGATCGAAGCTCTGCTTCCAGATGCAAAGTTTGGCGAGCAAGGTGAGCTGGCGTGGCCTGCGTAGGTGGCTGGCATTTGGGAACTTTCACTTCGCTACCACATTCTGTCTCGTTTGTAAACTGAAAGGATGGACGAAGTTATGTGGGCGTAATAATGTACTTTGTCTGGTGCTGTGTTGGCATGATTGCTCTCTTACGGTCTTTCATCTATGAGATGGAGCATGACACTGAACTGAAAAGTAGTTGGTAGCCGAAGCGGCTTAAGGTGATCCATTTCTGCTTGCAATGACGCAGGTCAGAAACTTTCCGAAGATGAGTTGAACCTCCTGGTGGCCCATGCGCATCGCCGGGTGGAGCTGCTGACCAAGGCACTAGCGAAAATGCAGGTGACTCTTTAGCACTGGGTGACCTTGGTGGGGTGTCAAAGGGACCCGGGCTCAGCGTCTATAATCTCTCGCACAGGTGACCGAGCAAGAGCGGGCACAGATGTTCCAGAGGCAGCAAGAGAGGGCCAACAGGGACTTGGAGAGGCAGAGGGCGGAGATTGACGCCACCCTAGAAGTGAAGGTGGGCCGCTTGGGTGCAGGCAACCTGTGGGTCGATCATGCGTGCACCGCGTTCAACACTACAGAAGTTCTTGTGAGAGCTCGGGAGTTGCCGGGAGTTGTGCCTGCATACTATGTATATGCAAAGCTAGTGCCATGCCTGTTTCAGTAACCTCGCCACACATGGATGAGCACGATAATATATTTGTTTGATGCCTAGGGCACTCATGGTCTGGAGGCACTTGACTGGTAGTCAGTGGTAAAATGCCAAGATGGTACAGTGGCCGCCCAGTTAGAGGGATTGGAAAAGAGGATTTTGATTGGGGAGAATGGTTTTGTTGGAGGGTTAGAATTTTGTTTAAAGGGCAACTCCGCTCAGTTCCGAAGATTTCGGGAGAATTAGTGATTTCGCATTGAAAAGCCCTAGGAAAAGACACTATGTTGTTTGCTTCGTGAAAAATGGGATATATATTTTTAAATCTAATTTTAAACACGAGTGGAAATCGAAACCGAAACTTCGGCTCCCTCCGGCAACATTGGCCTTGGGCCACCAAAAAAGGGCCATCACGTGGTATGAGATGTCATGTGATCTTCTACGCAACGATGGGAGGGTTTGGGGCAGGCGTGTGCCAGGCGCAAGTGTCGTCTGCACCGCACTCTTTGCTGCGTTTTAGTGTTTACGACATTCAACGACGTCTGCACAACTGCGGCATAAGTCTGCGCACGTGGTGTCCATAGTGTGGACGAAACTCCGAGAGACAATAAATACAAACGGTGAGATGACGACGGTGGTTGTGACGCGGGAGACGGTGGTAACGCGTGACTACGGCGGGGGGGGGGGGGGGGGGCCAGACGGCTCCCAAGAAGCGCACCGCAGAGGCGCATTACGACAATCACGTGGACACCGCTGAATGCTGAGAGGAAATGTTGCTGATGTCATCCGCTACGCTCGCCCGGAGAAGTAAAAACAAGCAGAAGGGGGCAATGGTGATGACGTTTAGTTCAATGTTGGCTATGCCCATGCCGTAGCCTTGACTGCGCTGTTGGTTAGGCCTGAATTTGCCCGCTTGAGTCTGCCGATTTCGGCAACTTGGCGAGTTACAAAGTTTGCCGGACTGTTTAAGAAATATTTAGACGGAAATGCTTCGTAATATTTCACGTGTGGTCTTCCTAGGTGATGCTGAAGAGGACTGCATTGTTTTTTCAAAACCAAAAATGAAGCGGAGTTGCCTTTTAAGTAAGAGTAATGCTATATTTCTGTATTATGTTTTTTTTTATTCAGGCTTGCCTGCTATTCAAACATACACCTTGTTTGAGGGAGAGTTGTTAGGAGCAGCAAAGTTGGGAATCTCTATTAAACTTGTGATTGTGCTGAATGTAGGTTTGAATTCTGCAAGTGACGTTTCTAATTTTCGAGACATTCACTCGTTTTGCAAAACGTATCCCACTCTAAGGCTGTTTCACATGGTGCTGTTTTTCGGAGAAACCACTTGTTTGTGTTCGGAATGATTATAGGCCACAGAAGCCAATCTTTCCAACACCGATGAGGATGATGCCTCTGGCATTGCGTGCACATTTTTCGAAGAATCACTCCATAGGAATCGGCTTTACTAGACCAGAGGTACTCAAACAGGGAGTCCCCCACCTTGAAGTGCCAAGGTCATCATAGACATCTTGGGTGTTGGAGGTCGACAAAAAGCATTTCCCACTCAAAGTTCTTAATTTTTTTCACTGCTTTAAATGTTTTCCCTCTGAAACATTTTGTTTAAAGACCCAGAATGAATATGGACTGCTGTCATGCATGAGTCTTGTGGGGGGGTCTTGCCTTTTTTCTTCAGTTTTAATGTTGCACTTATCACAATAAGAAAAAAAAAATGCAAAAGCATTCCAAAAAAAAAAAAAGAAAGCCAGCCACCACAGTGATGTGAATGTTTATATAGTCGGTCGAAATATTCAGGCCCTCTTCCTTGGTTTTTTTTTTAAAGGGCAACTGCTGTCGAAAATGACACCAAAATAAATGACTGGTATTGCTTTAGTGGCATGAAATAAGATCACAGCCAAAAAATTAGGTCAAAGTGAAGCCGCATACTCCACTAAAACCGATTTTAATGATGCGACCAGCTGCTCTTTAGTGGATGGCAAGCGGGTTAGCTTTTAGTCAAGGAACACTGGCGCAGCTCCCTTGTGACGTCCCGTCGTAGTGGAGCTGAGGTTGATTGGTTGTGCTGCGTACCACGGCACCACGATGATGTCATGTCACGACTGTACGGTGATGATCAGTGTTGCCATCCTTTTAGCAGATAGTTTCGGTTTTGCCGTAGTCGCCCGAAACCAAATTTTGAGCCGTGATATTTATGAAACTGCACACAATATCGAGAAAAAAAAAGTATTATCTTGTAATTCAGAGACACTGCCTTAGCTAAAAGCACTCGTAATCCCAAATTAAAAAATATTGACCAAAGTTGCCCTTTAACTAACACTTCCTAAAACATTTTTAAAATTGTTTCCAGGCAATTTATTTTGGTGTCAGAAGACTACCCAGTAAATATTTTGCTACAGCATCACATATATTTTTAATAAAGCAAAAAAATGCTACTGCTCGAAACCGAAACTGGATGGGGGAGTACAAAGAAATGTATAGGAGGAGAGGCTTGTGGAAGTTACGTGACTACAGCCGACCACACTTTTGTTTTTCCCATTCTTTCTTTTTTTTATTCCTTTGGCAGTGCAATGCAGACGAAAAACGCGCACGTTGCACTTTGCATAAAAAAGAGAAAAGTCAAGCACTTCGTGCTTGATGTTTATGTATTTTTCAAGCTCTTAGCAATTTGTGTTCGTAAGGCGAGCAATGTCTTCAGCCAAGAGAAGGGGCGATGACTTGGCAATGTCTTCATGCATATGAGCTTGGTGGTTGGGCGTGTTGTACGGAACAATCTGTGTTGGTGGTCGTTAATGAAACAGAGTACTCTTGGTAGCCTCCTATCTTAACGCCATCTTCCTTATTCTATTTCCTCATCGTCATCTTCTACCCAAGTCCATAACAGCACATCTTCCCCTTTTAAAACTGAAGTCTATTTGCAGGTTTCACAACTCTCTCACTTTTTGTTTTGTAAGTACCCTGGCCAATGTCTGCCACAGAACTCTCTTTGGTGAGATCGGCCCCAGGCACTGGTTTTAGGTGGAATCTATTTCGGCGAAGGGTTTCTGTGTCGGTGTCCACGAGGTATGATCTCGGCGACTCCTCTGCAGATTGCACTATGCCTTGTTTTTGCTCATCGGTGATCCAGACGATATCACCTCTTCTCAGTGGTTCCCGTTGTTGTGCAGCACGTCGTCTGTCATAGTTACTTTTGCTGAGTTCTTCTTTCCCACTTTTCGAGTTCTTGGGTGTTCACAAGTTTCGGTTCCAAAGTGGAAGGAGCAGATGGTAGGGATGGTTCTCAGCTTGCGGCCCATAATCAGCTCGGCGGGACTATATCCATTGCCCAATGGTGTTGCACGGTAGGACTGTAATGCGATGTAGCTGTCGAATGTCCTTTTGAGGCTTTTCTTAATAATTCCGACAGCGCCTTCAACAAATCCATTGCTCTGGGGATATCTTGGACTAGAAGTCCTGTGTTCGAAGCCCCTCTCTCGGGCGAACCGATGGAACTCGCTTCCAGCCACACGTTGTAATTATGGTCCGTTGTCGCTGAACACCACTTCAGGTGTTCCATGTCGTGCAAAAATTGACTTAAAGTGTGTTATTACACAGCTCAAAGTAATAGAGTTCAAAAGTTCCATCTCTGGATACCTCGAGTAACAGTCGTCACTAAAAGGTAGTTCCTTCCTGACAGATAAAATAGATCCATCGCGACCTTCCGCCATGGTCGTTCTGGAAACAGATGGCATCAAAGGCTCGTGTCGGTTGGACTATTTTTTGATGCATGCTGAGCAACTGCGTACCATGTTCACAATCGGCGTTGAGATGCCGGGCCACCATAGAGTCTTTCGCTCAAGCTCTGCATTTGGTGATCCCTTCATATCCCTGGTGGATTTTCTGGAGGATGTCAGTGCACATGGCTTATGGGATAATGAGTCTGCATCCTCTCATGAGTAGTCCATCTTGAAGTGCAATTTCTGACCGATGTTGCCAGTACTCTTTACAGTTGACAGAAACTTCTTTCCAACTGGGCCACCCTTTTTCACTGTACCCTGCAAGCTGTTTGCATGTAGTGTCCTTGGTCTGTCTTTCTTTGATTTCTTGAAGTCTCCTTCTCCATCGCAGGAAGGTCTGCGGTCACTCCCTTGATATAGGCAGCCACTTCTTGTTCCAGGTCGGGGTCTCCTGTTTCCTTTAGAGGCTGGCGGGACAATGTTTCTGCGGCAATCAGCGCTTTTCCTGGAATGTGTTTTATCACATGAGAATCTCATCATTCCCATCTTCATTCTTTGAAGTCGAACCATGATGTCCGCTAGGTTCTTCGACGTAAAAATGGGCACTAGCGGCTTGTGGTCAGTTTCAATCTCAATGTGAAGACCAGTCACAAAATCTTGAAACCTTTCACATGTCCAAACTACTGCCAGGCCCTCCTTCTCAACCTGTGTATACCTTCTTTCTGTCTCAGTGAGTGTTCTTGACGCGTATGCAACTGGTTAGTAGGATCCATCTGTCTGAAGCTGACGAAGCACAGCTCCCAAGCCGTATGATGAAGCATCGGCAGAGATCACTGTGTGTTTTCCTGGGTCAAAGAGCTTCAGCGCGGGACTCGTGGTCAGCGCGCGCTTGAATTCATCGTAGCTTCTCTGCTGTTCCGAATCTCAAACCCAGTGGCTCTTGGGGCTCAATAACGAATTAAGCGGGTAGGCGATGTGTGACATGTTCGGTATCAACTTTGTCAAATAATTCACCATGCCTAGAAAACTTCTCAGCTTATGAACAGATGAAGGAGGCTTCAAGTCCACAATGCCCTAACTTGGCACTGTCTGGACGTATTCCTTCACAGTCGATAACGTGACCCAAGAACTTTACTCTTCGCACGC